TGACACGGACGCATCCTGGTGAGGCATCAGCATCGGTGTGCTCATGGGATCGCAGTGTAGAAATGCAATCACAAACCGGCGAGCGCTTTTGGACACCAGCGCCAGGGTGCATCATGGGGTTCGGGGTGTCCAAACAGTCCAAAGATATGTGTATATATATAATATACATATATATGTATATGTATGGATAGATATAGATATAGATATATAGATATAGATATATAGATATAGATATATAGATATAGATTATAGATATAGATTATAGATATAGATTACAGATATAGATTATAGATATAGATTATAGATATAGATAGAGATATTAGGTACATACTCACTTTACTATACTGGCCCAGCAGATGTTGAGGTGGATCTTGAACAACGTGAAGCCAGAAGGTGAGCCGGAAAGCATGGGAAGCTACACCGTCATCAGCTTCTCCCAGGCCACGGCATCTGCTAGTAGTAGTAGTAGTAGTAGTAGTAGTAGTAGTAGTAGTAGTAGTAGTAGTAGTAGTAGTAGTAGTAGTAGTAGTAGTAGTAGTAGTAGTAGTAGTAGTGGTAGTAGTGGTAGTAGTGGTAGTAGTGGTAGTAGTGGTAGTAGGTGGTAGTAGGTGGTAGTAGGTGGGTAGCAGGAGTAAGTGGGTAGCACAAGTAGGCAATTGGGAGCTTCGAAACAGAGTTGGTCTCTCTCTTTCTAACCCTAAACCCTAAACCCTAAACCCTAAACCCTAAACCCTAAACCCCAGGTTTCCAGAACCCTTGCTCCCCTCTTCCCCCCCATCTCGATAATCTCGCAGGGCATACCCTGGGTTTAGGGTTTAGGGTTTCGGGTTTCGGGTTTAGGGTTTAGGGTTTTATGGGTAATTATACCAACCCTGGACCTGTGTTTGTCAGCTGGCTCGAAACGAATCACCTTGGCAGGCTCAGCAGGAACGGTTTGCAATTGACTCGCGCGGCCAGCCAACCAACCGTGCCAAGTTCAATGCCGCGCTGAAGGAGCTCAAGGACCGTGAAATTCACTGTTTAGAGTTTCGGGTTCCGAGTGCGTGGTTCAACCTCAAATAACCAGCTTGAAATAATGTTGCAGTGCCTGGCATGGAGGGAGCTTGCTCGCAAGGAAGAGAGGATGCACAAGACAGATGCTGCCGAGGCCAGTCCTGCCCCTCCCCCCCCCCATTCCAGCGCTTTATACAAGTAGGTTTTAAGGCATGTAGGGTTGGAGCGCAGGGAACTGACCTTGTCTGTCCGCTGTCGCATTGACAAGCAAGATTGCGGCGAAGACGTCCCAATCTTCGCTCTCATGTTTCTGCGCTCGCTGCACGTCCCACAAGATGCTGCACGACACGCCATTGCAGGGCCTGGCTTGTCGCACAGAGCATTTTTTTGATGGACTGGCTTTTGTCATGGTGAAGGGGGGCTGAAGCCCGCCCACCCCTGGGGAGTTGCGACAGGCCCCGCGGCCGACCGCGACGCCTCGTCTGATCGTCTGACCGCCTTTCGCGTATAGGGTTTAGGGTTTAGGGTCTAGGGTTTAGGGTTTAGGGTTAGAGTGCCAGGCAGATGTCCGTGGCCATAGGAGGTGCTTTAGGGTTTAGGGTTAGAATGCCAGGCAGATGTCCGTGGCCATAGGAGGTGCTTGAACGCGTCGCCAGCCTTCTCTAAGTATGACCCGTCCGATGCACTCAGCATATTCAGGCCCTTCTTCGGACGCTCAGCTCAAGTCTTCACAGCAAGGCGACAGCTCGTGTACAAAGAGGTTTCTTGATGGCCATCCTGCACGTTGCCTGCACGTAATCATAATAGTAATAATCATAGGATTTGTAATCATAATAATAATAAGAAGAATAATAATAATAGTAACAAGCACAGTGGAAGCTGTCCCATGGTACCGTGAGTGCAGGTTGGCCTGTGTTGGCCCTTGTTGGCCCTTGTTGGCTCTGTTCGCACTGTTTCGATGAGGAGCAGCCCGGGTCTCGATGACAGAAAAAAGTGTCAGCGATGCGTTCAGCTGCAGCGCCATGAATGATCTTGTCCGATTGGTGAAGGGCCCCCCTTTGCGCTCCCACCGCATTGGTGTGACATTCATGGATTGCGGGAGCGAGATGCGTTTCTGGGACGCCACCTGTGCTTGCTGCAGCTTTGTCCAGCGTTCTACCTAGGGATACCTGGGGCATCCAATTCCAAGGAGGCCTTTGCTTGTTGCTGGCTGGTTGCCCTTGGGGCAATGTGCGGCAAGAAAGTAATTGGCTACAGGGGGTGGTTTGACGGTGGACATCTCACGTAGCACGCAGGGGCTGGGGAGCAAGTCAAGTTCACAAGCGCTAGATCAAGCCGACTTCACCTGCTTTTTTTGTTTCTGATTAGCACAGCTTGGTTCGCTGACCGATCCTTTTGTCAGTTGGAGTAGGGAACGTGCAGGCTGAACATGGCCTCCACGAATCATGGAGGCCGGCTTGCAGAGGGTGCCCGCAGTCAGCTGCCTCCTGTCTCGTGGCCCGAAAAGTTCAGAAGCGTAGGTGGCGGGCGCTTGAGCTGCAGCGCGACGGACCGCAAAGGCTGGCATCTGCCCGCATTTTGCGTTGGAACGGGTCGACATGCCAGATGTCGACAGTTTGACTGAAGTGAGATGGCCCCTGAAATTTCTGTGTTTCTAGGGCCACCAGCTGGACTCGCTCGTGCTTGGGCAGCATCCATGTAGAGCTCCTTTTTTAAATACACCAGGATGAGATGCTTTTGCATGCTTTGTCCTGCTTGAGGCGCCCTTGACTGGCCGCTGAGCAAGGACGAGAAGCGGCATTGCGCGATGAAGCTCTTTCAGCGGGAGGTTGAGGCCCACAGGGTTTAGGGTTTAGGGTTTAGGGTTTAGGGTGTAGGGTTTAGGGTTTAGGGTTTAGGGTTTAGGGTTTAGGGTGCTACTCACAATTGCTCAGGGCAGCTACTTGGCGTTTTGACACTGGGCCCAGGCATCCGCGGAGCAATTGGACGAGCAGTCTGACCAGATCGACGAGCTACAGGAAGAGATCAAGGCCATTGTGGTTTAGGGTTTAGGGTGTAGGGTTTAGGGTTTAGGGTTTAGGGTTTAGGGTTTAGGGTTTAGGGTTTGCACAATTCCTACAAAAGTTCGAGTTCCCAGCGCCCATCAGCAGCCGCACTCATCGAGGTGCTGCGCAGGCTGTCCAATTGCTCCACAGCTGCTGGCTCGTTGTCGCCGGCGTCCGGCGAGGCCACTCAAGGGCTTCGCACTTTGTTCCCCCCTCCCCCCCCAAAAAAAACAGAAGAGGAAAGGGGCCGCCCTGATGGCAATGGCGGTGGGGCACCGACTTGCAGTGTCCCCCTGTGCCAGGCTCCTGATCCTGGTGCTGAGGTGCCCTGCACAGATGCACAAATACAGGTCGTGCACTGCTGTTTTCCTGGGGCCGCTCAACAGTGTTCAACCATGTTCAACCCTAGTAGCATGATATGCAGAATCTGGCAGGGGCAGGTCACGACATGATACGCTTTGTGTCAGACAGGTTAGGTAACGTTGGATTCTCTCCAAGGCCGAGCTCCGGGAGAAGGGACCCTGCGAGGCAGGCCCTGGTGGTTTTTTACGCCCCAGAACCCTAAAAGGCCTGCGCCTCCAACCCCTTTATACTGCATGAGACCGTATAGCTTTCTGCAAGCCGCATCATGAAAGCAGGAAACGCTGCTGGCCGCAGTGGAAGCTTATGACACTGCCTGCCAGAGGCCAGCGTTCCATGCAAAGCAGCCCCTGGAGACCCTAAGCACAAGCGAGTCACTTCTTCATCGATCCAATCCCTGTTTTGGGCTTGCATGCAGACTCCTCTTTGTGTTTGTTTCTGCCAGAAGCCACTCGCAACCCAACCGGTCGCCGCTACCGGGCTGCAAACAGAGAAGATCTACTGATTCGGTAGCATCAGCAGCCTGCGTGACAAGTACTGGGTGCCTGCTGAGGGAGCACATTGCCAAGTTCTACGGTGGCTGCGAAGAGCATGCGGCCGATTTCTGGGGCTGTGTGGCCGAGAAGGATCCGGAGACACTGACAGAACATATCGGAACTCTGATCAAATGACCTTAAACTGCATATAAACCTACTGACTATACTTCAAGCTTTGTTCACAAGAACAAACCCAGCTCAAGAGACCTGCTTGAGACAGGAATGTAGGACCGAGTGCAGGCATCTGAAGCGCATGCAAGTCGAGAAGCCATGGACCAGGACGATCTCAGCCCACTGGAGGCTGCCATGTGGCTTGCAAAGTCGTTGCCTGTCCCGATCATCATGGAGGGGCGAGCGAGAGCGAGGCGTGGCACGTCCCTCAGGCCGCCCTCCCAGCATCCCTCCGTCTGCTGCGGACTGCCGGAGGCGCTGGCGGGCGTCCTTGCTCCGTGGCGGTCGCAGCCGCGCGGGCTTCGAGGAGTTGCGCGCGCGGGCATGGGCAGCTGCCGAGGCACTGGATGGTGGGGACAAGGGGGGTTGTGTCGCACACTGCTGCTGTTCCCTTGGCGGTTGTGTGCTCCTTTGCATCCTTGCTGATTGCTCTGACCTATTTGTAGGGCCATTGGGCCCATAGGGCCCATGAATCGACTTGCATCGCTGGGCCTCTGTGTTTCACAGCGCTTCTAGGCACCAGCGCTCCGGCTGGAGGCGCAGCGTGAGCTGCGGCGAGCCTTCCGAGGCAGGGCCCCGCAAATCTTGCAAAGAATTTGTGAAATCCCTAAGTACCCCCCAGGACCCTAAGCCGAAACGAATACAATGAGCTCATGAGGGTCTCAAAGGGCTTACACTTGGAAGATGTCAACGGAGGTGAAGTCTTTCTGGACACGCCGGGCTTTACAGAAGCCGTCGCTTCTTGGCTTGTGGGATCTTATTGTGTGATAAAACTACTGTTATGGTACTTAGTTACTAGTTACTAGTTTACTTGTCTCTTCTACGAGATGGCAGCTTCCACTCAAGTCCAGGTGGGCATTTCGCAAACGATCTCAGCCCCATCTGGCGACCACGTGCCCGGCTCCACCCACATCGCGGCCCTCCTCCTGTTTGGCACCTTGGGTTCAGAGAACGGATTGAGTCAGGAAGTGCCACTGCTTGTGATAAAGGAGCGGCTGTAGGGCGCATGGTGACATGCTGTCTCAGACATCCGAACTATTCCGAACATGCGCTTTGTGAGGCTTGATCCCCGACAGCGCCACGTTGGAGGAGGCCGAGGCAGATGCCTTCTGGTGCTTCTTCGAGCATCTTGACCAGGTGTCCGTCAGGCTTGTTGGGAGTTGTTCCGGTCAAGGATTCAAGTAGCGCTTAGGCACCAAGCTCCTGCACTGAACCAGAAGTCAGAAACAAGAAACGGTCTAGCCAATCACTAGCACAGAGCCATGTTGAAATGTCGGGCAGGCGTTGTGCTGATGTCTACAATTTCCAACTCAACCCCCTTTGCAGCCTCCCCAATATACCGAAAATCAATGAAGTCCAGTGAGCCTCTGTCTTGCTCAGGTTGCACACAGAGAACAAGAACTCGCCAACCGATCGCAGAGCCAAGCGGCTGCAGGACCGCAAGCTGCTGTGCTCTTGTTCTTACTATGTGCCGGCCTCTGCCGGCAAAGTAGCTGTGTGCACATGACTCTTTGCGGAGCTACCTCGGGCTCTGCAGGCTATCGTATTATAGCAGTTGCGGGCTGTTCAAGGAGCTGCTCCGCACCTTCGATGATGAGCTCTGCGAGGCTCTGCAACTCGACAGCAAGAGAGAGGTGCATTTCAACAGATGCTGCGGGCGGATGCAAGACGACTCGCAGCTTGTGTGGCTGCGCCTTTGCCTTCGGATTCGAGAGCTTTTGTCAGCTAGAGCTGCAAAAGGAGACGATGCTGTATGCAAGCCTTCTTCATGAGATCCCTAATCACGGCGCGCTGATCTTGACTGAGCATTGAGGACTCGGCAGGGCCTCATCTTCGTGGCGGCACGCTTGGGTGAGGCTGGGATGTTTGGAAGTTTGCCACAGGCTCGCGCTTGAGGAGCTGAGGCTCAGGGAGCTTGAGGTAGGAAGCCCGCATCAGGGGATGGACGATGTCACAAACCACTCACTCATGTATGACCGCTTGGGAGGAGACAGTTTTTTCATCAAAAAGAAAAATATTATATCATTAAAATGGAGTGCATCATCCAAGTGTTCTATCGGGGGTGAGGGGGTGTTGTTTGCGCTACGAACCCATTCGAACCCCGCGTAAGTCCGCTGAGTGCCAACCTAGGCCACTTTTTGGCAGTTTAGGCGAACTGGAGAAATCCTCAATACACCGATGCTCCACCAAAACTCACTGTAGCTCTCCGAAAGATCCAGGGATTTTTCAGGGTACTACAAATTCGGTGCCGCGTATGAAAAGAGGCCCTCTTCGCATCGGGTGGCTTCGCATTGGAGCCATGCGCAAAGCTCTGGGTGCGCTCCGGGGGTTTCAGGGTTTTGAGGTGTTTGGACAAGGTACCCTATTGAAGAGTGAACCATTGAAGGGGTTTCGAGAGATGTGCTGTGCAGCAGATGTTGAAAGGGCGGATTCTGCTTATCTTGCGCGAACTCGTAGTTGCCATCGCCATGCAGGATGTCATGCTCAACGATGCTGAGCGCTTCGCCTTTAGTAACTTGCCTCATCATCGGCAACCCACCTGCATCGTTCCCAAGAGTTGTCTTGAGCGAGGTGACTGGGTGTTGTGCGCGCTGGTCTTGCTAAACCGCTTCCAGCTTCTGCGCATCGCTGACGATGCTGCGCAGTTGGCGGAGGTGGCGTCATGACGCGGTGCAGTGCATATGATTTTTGCACATGTTAGGATGTCATTCTTCCATCAGATCTTCGGTCAATTTGTCGCTGCATTCCAAGAGATTACGCCAGGCACTCCAGGCTTTGCCTCGCACTGTGCCAGTTGTGCGCACCCTCCGCTTTGCTGCGGCGCTGCGCGCTGCAGCGCGACGACGGCAGCGCAGAGACACGAAGGCTGCCAGAAACGTCATCAAACTTGAGATGCAACGCTGTTGAGGGCGAGATGGTGTCAGCGGATTGAATGCATAACGAAATGGCGCTTTCTACTCACCGGTGCATATGTGTTTTCTTTCAGCCGATCTTGTCGTAGCTCTTGCAGGTGAGTCGGGCACGAGTTCGATCGCCACAGCTGCATGGACCCTAGCAGCACTGCAAGCAGTCATTGCAAGAAGCGCCTATGTAAATGGTGCACATGCTTGGGCTGTGTGTTGAATATCACAGTATCACAGTGTATCATGTAATGTGGTACGTAAGAGTGACACGGCAGAACTTACTCTAACAGTCTAACATAGTATCGCATAGTACAGATGTACAGAGTCCACTTAAGGTAGCACGTATCTATGTATCCTCAACGAAGAGACAGCTTAGAACACACCTTGAAAACCCCCTGGTTCTTAGTAGGGAATGAGGGAATTAGGGCCCTATGTATACCCTTTAAGGGAGTATGTAGGGCCCTATGTATACACCCTTTAAGGGAGTATGCAGGGCCCTAATACTACCCCTCTTTAAGAACACGAAGAGCCAGCCAGAAAGCAGCTGAGGGATGAGGAGGCCCAGGGCCCTCTCCAGGTCCTCGGCTCTTGGTTCGGTCCGGGCCTCATCCAACCTTGCTTCGTTGCCTTGTCATGGGGCTCCATCTTTTATTGCTAGAAGGGGGAGTACTTAACACAAAAAAAGGAATCGGGTATTGCATGATAAGACAGTTGCTACATGTTGCTCTTTCTCCCCTTCCCATGGCGTTTCGGCAGATGCTGCAGGGCGCGCGAAGGAGAAGGGGGTCGAGGCCACCACCTCAGCGTGACAAAGCTATGGGGAGGTCTGGGTGGCAGGTGTGGCTTCGCTTCATGCCCAGTGTAGCCGATCGAGCCAATAATATGGTGGCACATGTAACTCTAGCACTAGTGACGGGCACCTGTCACTTGACCTTGCTGTGCTTTGAGCTGCCTTGCCCCCTCCCCCCTTCCCGGTTTAGGGTTTGGGGTTTAGGGTTTAGGGTTTAGGGCCCCCGCCTCCCCCACCGGCCTCTGATCGAATGAAAGAGGCCTTGGAGGTGACCCGAAGCGTGGCGCGATGCGCGTGGCCTCGGGAGCGGTGCTGCCGCGCCGCTCGCTTCACACCAGGAGTTGCTCCATAATCACATAATAATGCTATATGTATATATATATATATATGTATATATCTATGTAGAGTTTAGTGGTATCATTTAGGATAAGAACACAATAACGCGACATAGTGGTATCATCTAGTATAAGAACCTAGAAATCTAGGAATAAAACACTTAAAGTGCAAGTGTGTTGTGGTAGCAAATGGCGAGATCCACCATCGAGGCTACTGTGGAGCCCGTCGAGAAGTTCCACGAGGAGGAGCCAGGGAAACAGCACACTCATCGCACGCCAATGCTTCTTTTCCCGAAAGCGTGTCCAGGGTGTTCTGGCAGAGGTGGTCTTCGGAAAGGTTGTCGTTCTCGTTAATGCATGGATGGATGTCGTGATGCATGTCGTGATGGAATTCGTGGTATGTTGGTAAATTTGAATTCTACTTCTGGTTTAAAGCAGTGGGACCCGCCGCACCTCCTCAATCAATTCTGGGCGCAAACGACAACCCCCCCTCTGTGTGTTTGCGGGATGTCGTGACGCTGGCACGTGGGGCGTCCTCGAAATTCTGCGCGTATTTGACAACAACCCTGCCTGTTCCACCGGACCCTCAGCCCTTATGCGTGCCCATCGTCCTCTGCTGCCATGTCGACCGCATGCACCACATCGCTGGCAGATGTGCATGGGTTGCGGCCGTGAGATTCTGTGAGAGATGATGGATGGGATGATGTCTTCCATGAACCGTGTCCTCGTGTCGTCTTCCAAACGTTTCGTCTTGCTGAAACTCAGCAGTTCTCACGAGGTCTTGATCGCGGCTCGTAGACCGTGTCGTCGTACCGTCTTCCAAACGTTTTGCCTTCCCGAAATGTTAACGGGCTCACGAGGTCTTAATCTCGGCCCAAAAACGACTCACCAGGAGATGCAGCCCTTGCGGCGGCGGATCACTGCGGACAGTTCCAAGACGGACTAGCCGCCGTCATCGATGGCAACAGTGAGTTGTGGCTGCATTCTCACTCCATGGCTCGAGGGGAAGGCATCCCGAAGCATGCAGCTAGGATTCCCAGCTGATCTGAAACACAACTTTGGTGCAGGAGCACTGCCCCCTCCCTGCTAAGCCCAGTGGACTTCTCCAAGTCTACTGACTGATAGTTTTTTGGGCTCGTGCTCCCTCTCAGAATTCTTGATGGCAACATCCACAGTCGCTTCCTATGACGTCTTCTGCTGATCAGGTCTGCACAATGCGAGAAGAAAACTTCTGAGAGGAGAGTACGTGATTTCTGTTGTTTAATAGTCGCAGAGGCATGACGTCGGCCACAACGGATGACTGGGGAATCGGAAGTAGATGAGGTTGAAAGGAGATGGGCTTCGACTTTAACCGACGTGTGCCTCAGGCGGTACCACTGTCACTTCAGCAGCAACCCGTTTCGCAGCTGTATACTGCAGCAGCAACTGCGATGGGCTTGCTTGCGCAGGGACAGCAGATGCATGTCTTTTTGTGCATGGAGCACAAATGCCAAGCCAATGCAAGACAAAATCACAGAAAACAGTTCGTGCTGTGTGGCGCTTGTTGATCGTGCGTAAAACTTGCTTTGATAGAGACCCGTGCTTGTTCAACGTGCTTGGGGTTGTGCTCAAGCCGTTGGGCAGGAGCACAAGAAGTCGACGACGCTTGCATGCTTGTCATGTCATCAGACTTTGTCCAGTGGCGGCAATTGCAAGTCAGGGGAAAGTCGTGTCGAGTGTTCGCAATCTAGCATACTTGCTTCAGTTATTGTGCATGACGCCTCTTTGCATCACCCTGCATGACATCTCTGACCATGGCACCAGGGCTGCCCTGCAGTAGACCCTCTGGCTAACTGGCTATTGGCAAGCTCCAAGAGTTGACGTTCTTTACCAGTTGCGCAAGTGGCACAGGTAGGAAGTGGGCACGTCGCCTCAAATCTGACCAAACACCCGCCTTTCAGGATCCTGGTCGGGAGGCTTCGAAGCTCTGCCATCTCCCGGCTATGCAAGGAGCATCCCAGGCCATTGGAGTCATTGCGGTCGTGCGCAATTCCGCAAGTCCATGTGAAGAGTGCTATAGCTGCTAGTCAGGGCTTCAGCGACCACTTCCCGGCAGCTCTGAGACAGTCTTGCTTGGTGGCATCACCGCAGCAGTGGGATCGAGGCTGTTAGGAACTTCCAGATCAGAAAGCCATGGGCACCGGAGGACTTGTGGTTTTTCGTTCTGCTGAGAAGGGAGCTCGGAGGGGCGTCTATGCTTGCATCTACTTTCAATGTGACGGCTATTACACGTCCCTTGGAGTGCGGCTTGCCGAGTTCCTGAAGACATGCAAGCTGGTGAACGGACTCAGCGGGGAGCCTGATGACGGCAAAATCATCTGCAACGGCTTCGGCTGCTTAGTGGCGCAGTTCATTTCACACTTCAAGACTGGGGCCGGCCACCTCTACATGTTTCCCACAGACTGCAAGCTCGAGATGGAGTTTGTCTACATCGTGGAATGTGACGACTCACGCCCGCCATCCCTGTCGGTGAAGTCCTGGATGGGCGCACATCCGAATCCAGAGGATGCCACATCCATGAGCCTCGATGAGTTTCATGCATTCAGTTTGCAAGGCGGCCCAGCCTCGGAGGACGAGGCAGAAGGCACAGCTGCTGAAGCGAAGCCGGCACTAGCTCGCAGCGTCGGCGAGGAGTAGAACATTTTCAGCGAGGAAGGCGCGCGGCGAATTGCCAGCACCGAGTGTACAGCAAGGTGCATGCAAGATGCACCTGTTGGTGTGCACCTATAGGTCTTCCTATGGGTACCAAGGCGCCAGACAGTGACCTCCAGCCTACTGACCAACTGACAATCGGTTCTTCCACACTTGTCGTGCAAGGGAGACAATTACTATCAATTACTTAAAGCCATGGCGAGGTGCTTTCAGATGACCTGGTCCGAGCTCGGGCGCTGCGTTTTGACCTGAGCGTTTATGCGCAACTTGTCGGCGCAACGACTTGAAGGATACTCAAAAAACACTGACATCCAGGTCGTCGGCTGTGGCAGCAGAGTCTGGCGGCCACTCAGTGTAAGCCTTGGAGCGATGGCCCTCATGATGCTAACTCGACATCAAAATGACCCACATTCTTCCTTCCCCGAGCCAAGACTGACCTGACAGTACCCACACCAGGACACCAGGACCCATGAGAAGTTATCAATGAGCTCAAGCTGCTTAGTTCTGATGATGTCCTCACTCACGCCACAAGCGCTGCGGGATGCTGCCATTGGCTGCCAAGGACCCAGGCGGCTGATCCGGCACCGGTGCATCGGGTGCTGTTCATGAGTTTGGGACGCCAGGTGAAACGAAGGCCTCAGCCGCCATTGCTAGGATATCTTTGCACTTCTGCCTCATTGGCAGCAAACTTCCGGACCATTCTGGCAGGCATGGGTTTCTGCAGCAGCTGCGTCGATTTCCCAAGCTGCTGAGCCGGGTGCCCCATGGGGATTCAGAATCGATCTTCGACCAAGAGTACCTGTGCTGTTCAAGTGATGTTCATGGTACCGTGTAGATTGTAGAGTGCGTTTGATCTCAAGGTGCATGTTCTTTTTGCATGTGGAGTTCTCATTACTAGTAGCCGTTTCTGCAGCGCAGCGCAAGGTGGAGTGGGTCCGGGCTGTTGATGGATCAACTCTCCAATTGGATGAGGTTCCTGCCATGCAACGTCTGTTCCTTGTTGACCGCAGCTGCCTACGCTGGTCTTGAAGCCTTCTGTAGTGAAGATCCTTGCCGCCAGGTCACCAGCTATGATATACAATCTTTCGGCCGTTGTTTGGCCCAATTTTGAGTCAGCGCGCTAGGTGCCCATGCGCACCGTCACTGCCCAGGGGATTGAGGCATGCGCTGCCGAAAGCATGGACAAAGGTGCACTTCCATGAGACGCTTGCTTCCAGGACGCAAGAACACCCCATCAGAAAGTGCTCGGCTACATCCTGACGCGTGGGGCGATTGGACTGTCGATGTCCATGTGCCCGGCTCGGAACGAAGCCTGAATGGTGCGCTGCTAGTGCCATGAGGGGACACGGACTTCTTCATGGATTTGCAATGGCATATACTCAAAAATGAGATGCAATCGCCAGCAGAGTTTACAACTATGGACTTTAGAACTATGGACTCTTTCCCACAAGAAGCAACTTTGCAGAGCTCCGGGGGTTTCTTGTTGCAGTGTTTCTTCGCTACTGTGCAGTTTCAATATCTGCTATCCTGGCTGTGGCATGCTGTGAGACAAGTTTCCAAGGCATGAAGTCTGTGACATGATCGCCCTGGACAAGGACGAAAGCCCAAGAGAACCCAACAACCTTTCACGAATCATCCTTGCACGGATAGCCTTCGTGCAGCCAAAGCCCGTGGCAAAGAATCCGTTGTGTATCATCTTCACCCTCCTCTGCGCCCTCCTCATCATGATCATGGTTGGGGATGTTTGGGGTGTTCCCCTTACACAAACAGTCCTCCACAGGGATTGCTATAATCCCTATTAAGGACTGTCAGTAGAAGGGATCATGGTCATCATTCGTCAACAGCCATCATCGAAACGTGGCTCAAGAGGACGAGGACCACGTGTACCTCCTTTGCGAGGATGATGCCGTGCCATTTGGTGGCAGCAGTTTGTTTGGCTTGCTTGAGCGAGATCGCTTGATGCAGCTGAGGCTTTCGCCACACTTCACCGAGGAGTTTACGCGGCTGCTGCATGCGACCAAGCTCCACGACCCCTGGTGGGAGGCTCCTTTCTTCAGACCCCTGTGGTAGCCATGTTAAAAGTGCTGATAGCGCTGCTGAATGCCGCGATCAGTGCTTTGAATCCTTTAAAGGTCATTCACGTTGGGTTCCATGCCGCCACAGCCTGAGCAAGGAACTGGAAGTCCGTTCAATCGCATGTGAGTACTCCTTGCTGTACATGCGCCGTCTGGTCGAAGAACTCCGGAAAGCATGCGGCTTACGAAGCACATGCCCGTAACTATGTTCAGACACGCACTGACCATTGCATCACAACTACCAGTGGTCTCGAGGCCTGCACCACCATCAGGACGCCATGCTCAAGACCACTTCTCGGCAGAGAGAGCCTGTGTTGTCAGTTTAGCAAAGGCACATGGTGGCTGCTGAAAAGGTTTCATGTTGGAGGGCCTCTTTTAAGGGGTCAGATTATGTTTGATTGACTTGTCTCCAACCGATTCAAGCTGGTTTGGAGTGGTTCCCAAACGTGAGGCAGGCATAGAGATGAGGTTCCTTCTGTTGCTGAGGGGAACTTGCTCGAGCCTCATACGTATCACGACCTGGAATCGCTGTTGTGCCCGTTGGTGGCCACTAATGCTTTCGATGACAAAGTCCAAAGTTGGGCGCTCGTTGGCTTTGTGGTGGGGGACATCATGACCAGGGTGCCTCTCAGTGCTTTTTACACGCGCAAAGGGCATGCATGGGTTGAAGGCTACGTGCTATGTGGCGTCAGGGCTGGTCGAATCAGCTAGGACTTTTCAAGTTTCTGCATGTGGGGACAGTTTTCTTCAGAAGGATCCCTGCATTCTGCGCAGGAGCTGTGGGCGGCCTTCTTGCATGCTGGGGCACGAGGTTTGCTGGGGGTGGGAAATGCTGCCCCCACCCTTACAAATGCGTGGCCCATTGTACCGACTACATTCACCCCCACTCCTTCCCAACACAACAAGAAGGAGGGTAAAGGAGTTCTACGAGGCTCTGGCATTAGGGCTTAGGGTTTAGGGTTCAGGGTGTAGGGCCAAGTTTAGGGGTCTTGGAGTAGGTATATCTAGGTCGTGACATGTTTGGTATTTTCACTTATGGCATGGGGTTTAAGCGGATCATATTCAGGAATGATTTTTCAGAGGGTTCTAAAGGGCGATCCTAGTGATGCTGCCAATGCGAACTGGCATGTCATGCGCGCCTAGCTGCGCGATGTTTTTGTTTCTCTCTTTTCTGTTTAATGATTTCGGGGTACTGGTAGCACTGTGCTCAGAAGTCGCAGCTGTCAAGGCCGAGTGCCCTGTCGGCCGACCCGCCGAGCTGTTTGGATGTGGCTTGCTTAAGCTAAGCCTGGCAATCCGCCTGCGCTGACGTTTTGTACCATAGTTACTTACGTGCATGCAGTTTGGAGTATCAACGGCTGGCTGTTGGAATAAGTCCAGCAACGCATTTGCCTGAGGTTATGGGCTGGCACTGCGGCCGAGTGGCGCCACTTGGTTCGATGGGGTGTGGAGCAGTTCCGCCAACTCGAACATGATTAACACATTGCTACGAAACAGTACGAAACATATTGGAGCCTTATACTAGAAGCCAACAAGTTGGGAACTCAATAGCCTCAATCCCTAAGAGTAAAGTATAGGCAATCCCAGCACTATTTGTCCTTAAGAAGGTTTCCAACTTGTTGGGGTTTACTGTAAGGCTAGCTTAAGAAGCGTCGTGCTAAGGCACCTAAGTGTCGTTGCATCGCTCCCTCGCTCATGATGGATACAGAGCCTTCCCTTCGAGGCCAGAGCTCTTTGTCAACGCCTCTTCCCCGTGAGCCTGCAGGCTTGTCTTGCTCCACCTATATATATATATGTATACATATATAATACATATAGTATATATGTATATATATATATAGTGAGTTTTGTTCTTCTAACTGCCTCTAGATGCATCTGGCACTTCGAGGATGCCCCGAAGCCAGTACTACCATGACCCAGAGGAGACCACCTCTTGACCCAAAGTCCCGCAAACAGGTGGGGGTTTCCGAAAATGGGGGTACCCTTTTTGGGGGCTCCCTTTGAGGGGATTCTGTTCTACTTGGGGTATAAAGGGCACCATTGTGGCTAGCAAGTCACCGCAGGTGGACACCGAGCTGTCGCGCCTGCGCGGGGCCCTGTTCACACGGCCCAGACGCGTGGAAGTGCCCCTTTTATCCCCAAATAGATAGAAGCCCCTTAAAGGGACCCCCAAAAGGGGTACCCTAAACCCTAAACCCTAAACCCTAAACCCTAAACCCTAAACCCGGAATACCCCGGGGTATTTCCGGGAACTCCCAGGTATCGGCACTTGGCCAAAGAGGTCGGCTCCCTGGAGGCCAGATCTAGGGTTTCCGGAAGGGGCTCTTGTTATAAGGGAATTCTTGTAGTTGGGGGTTTATATCCGGGTCCTCTATTTTCGTAAACCCCATTTAGAGGAGATCGTTTTCTTCCCCACCTTCGGGTGTGGGGTTGTTAGATTTTAAACTCAACTCTTCTCCTCGCCCGGAATTCTTCTCCTCGCCGGAACTCTTCTCCTCGCCCGATCTACTCCTAGAGCCTCCCTGGAGTGCCCAACCCAGAGACTCCTGGAGTGCCCAACCCCAGAGTCTCCTGGAATGCCCAACCCCAAAGTCTCCCTGGAGTGCCCAACGCCAGAGTCTCCCTGGAGTGCCCAACCCCAGACACTCCCTGGAGTGCCCAACCCCAGAGTCTGCCTGGAGTGCCCAACCCCAACTGCAAGAAAAAAACTAAGAAAGCGTATTTGAATCAATGTGTCTTTGTTTGAACATCCTGTTTGCTCTCTTTCCTTTTCACGAGGAGCAAGGTGGGGATGTTCGAAGTAAAATAAACTTTTTTGCAACGCGTGTTTTCCTTGTTGGGCAGGCGCGAGCCCTTGGCCGCCGCCCAGCTGACTTTGCGCCCTTGCGGGCTGAGAGCTCAGTTTCTGCGTGTTTCTGCATGATTTGCACGCTTCTGCTGGACTATTGGGGCGCAGAAATGGGCCGCACGGGCAGAGAGGAAGAGTGCAGAGTGGGGGTGCGTCAAGGCCTACGCCCCTCGCTGTCCAGCAAACGAGGTGGAGGCGGGCCGCCGTTGAAATGAAATGAAATCTAAGGCTCCACGCCTGCACTCTTATCTCGTGGCTGGCATCCTGTGTTTGAGCAGGCGGCGCGTGTTGCTTGGCCGGGACCCTTGATTGTGGCGCCCAGCTCCAGCCCTGACAACACAGACATCCAGGCCGGCAAAGCAAATGATGGCCCTGGGGTGTGTGTGTGAGAGAGAGAGAGACAGAGCGAAGTCTTCTAGCCAAGCCAGGCTCCATTCGAACGTTTTGGATTTTAGCTATCGCCGCTCTGCAGGTTCTGAGCACTCAGAACTTTGCAAAGCAGTACAAGTTGTGAGGCCAGCATCCTGGAGTTGCGCGGAGAGAAAACATGCATCGCTCTATATCGCCTTCCAGACAGCACTCCATGTCCCCTTCGCATGCAAAGCCTGTGCTCGCGCAGCGCCATCCAAAGCACCCCAAAGCAAGGCCCTAAAGCCTAAAGCCTAGAACACGCCTAGAACCCACATCCTAGCGACCCGCACACTGCCAACAAGCTGCCTGCTTCCCACCTGCTGGCTGGGCTCACAGTGGAGATATTCGTGCCAGTCTGGCAGCCTTAAGGTGCCTTGGCCAAAGGAGCCTACAGGCGTTCATGGTCACGTTCTCCATGACGTTGCCTGAAGCACTTGCTTGAAATCCCTAATCCCTAATCCCTAAACCCTAATAAGCGTGCTTTGACTCAGGACATGCCGGTGGATAGTTTGGATTTGGAGACATGCTCCTTCTCGGTGCAGGGCTCCACCTTCGAGGCGTGCATTGTATGGTGCAGTGTTGTGTACTGGTGCTCTCGCCCCAAGAAATTCGCTTCAGGTGCCAAAGCGGTACCAGATAGATGAGCCCATGAGTGACAAGCTCACCTTGTCCCAGTTGTGCAAAGCTGTCTCTGTGCGTGTGTGCGTGCGTGCGAGTTCCTTCTGCATGCCCCGCCCCCGCAATGTTGTTGATGGGATGAGGTCACGGAGCCTACGGCATAGTAGTCTCTGCCGAGGATCAGGAGTCTCCCGGGTTTTCCATGCCCCCACATGCCCGCTGGCAAGACATCCCATGTCGACTCGAATGACTTTGGATCGCCGAACGCGAATTTTGGCCCAAAGAGCTGTGGTTCTGTGCGAGAGTCCGTCCACGCCTTGCACCTGCAGGGCCTTTGCAGAGGTTCCGAAACCCCCCGAATGTGATGCAGAGATGCCTGGTTGTTGTCCAGAGATCCGCAGGTCAAAGATGTCGGATGACTTTGCAGTGGTTCGTTCCATCATTGAGGCCGGAGCATGGCTCATGCGAATCATGTAATCTGCAGGGATCTGCGTTTGAACTCTCCCTCGCAGGATAAGTTGCACCAAGAGTTCTACAACATCCCGACCAAGGCCGTCGTTTTTGTTGCATTTAGTTTCTTCCTCTGCAACTTCTTGACCACCAGAAAGCAGGGCTAGAGCTTGCGAGTAGATGCGAGAGAACAGGCTTGGGCTTGTCGATCCTTTTTTCAGTCTGTTCTTCCCCGGGTCATGACCTCTGTTCCTTGAAAGTCCTTCACGGAGTTGATCGAAAATTGCGACGGTTGATTGGAATGTCTTGGAACTTGGGTGCACTACACTGTGACCGCCGAGACTCCAATCTTGTACTGTAGGTTTCGTTCACCTCCCTTCTGTTGCCTTCTGCATCATGCAACAACATCCTTGCTGCGCACGTCGTTGTCAGGACCTGCCACCCCGCATGCAGCCGAGGCAATTGCCAAACCTTCAGGACGAGTCTTCGTAGTGCTGCCAGGGATCCGATCACTCATTCTCAGCAAGACATGTCACGGAGACGGCCGATGAAGTACAGAGCGTGCGCCGAAACATTGGAAGATTTGTGAATCGATTTGTGATTCGCGTTCTGAGAGGATGCGATGAAGATCGACTGGGACGACTGGAAGAGCTGGGCTATTGGCTGAGAGCCGGGTTTGGCTTTTGAAGACACTCTGACATGTAGCGACAACACAGCAACTCTCTGTTCACCGAGGAGTGGATGCAGCCTGGGTGGAAGGGGGTCCGCCCACAGAGCTTTCGCGCAACGTAGACAAAGACCAGACTTCAAAGTTTCAAGGTTTCACGGAAGGTTCGGTTCGAGCTAAGCGTCCATGACGGGTGTTCGCTGGTCATGGTAATTCGGGAGTCGTGAGTGCTCGCCTGGACATCCCTTCTGTCGTTCAAACGTGAGACTTGTTGTCATGGTACAGGTGAAGATGCACTCACAGTGCGTCATCAATGCTGACGGATCCGCCGAGATTCGAAGCGTCGGGCGCCCAGACATACCCAGTTCCCTTCCACCTTCAGCCTGCTCGCGCCGCTTCCTCTGCCTCACTTGGGGGTTTCCGATATGAAGGGTACCTTAAGTGGGGTCCCTTTTGATAAGAGATCCTACTCTTGGGGGTCTATTTTTGGGGTCCCCTATTGTCAGAAACCCCTCGGGCACTGAAAGCCAATGCTGTCTCGGGCAGGTGTGGAAGTGAAACAAGAGCTTGAGGAGATGAACAAGCAGCTGAGCGAGCCGCAAGAAGCAGCCGGGAACGATCAGAGTGTATTATGATTCTGAGTATTATCAAAATTATTGTTAGTATTCTTGGCATTACTAGCATTATTTTTAGTACCATTGATCATTTTTCTTATTGTGTGAGTCTAGATTAGCACTAGAGCGAATATCTGTAGAGGACTTATGATGGCCGTGCGCGGCTGCGGTATGAAGTATTCCGGAAGCTATGGTGCAACGGGCACTCAAGACAAGAGAGCTAGCACTGGCAAAACAAGAGCGCGGTTTGCCAATCAGTCTCCAGGGTACAGGTCGAATCCTCAGAAAGGGTTCACCCTAAACCTTAAATCTTAAACCCTAAACCCTAAACCCTGTTCGCTGTGGTGACATCCTCAAAGACTCAGAGATGCTATGTTAGTGGATGTCAGTGGCAAAGCATCGTGCACCATGATGCGGGCACTCCGTGCATTCCGCATAAACTTGCATCCTTCGTGTTTCCTTGTGCATTCTCCCAAGATTTTGCTGCTTAGGAGGACAGTTTCATCCGTTATATCCAATCAGGAAAGATACTTGTAATATGAAGCCCTTGAGGAGATTGAGGAGAAAGTTGCGCTCAAGAAGATCGAAGGTGTCTTCGAGCACATTACGATCGCAAAGGCCCGTGTCAAGATGTGTCAAGAATACACAATCAGCGCGACCTGACTTAAGAGCGTAGCTGGGCGACACATGTTTGCCCAAAATGCTGTTTGCATGCGAGCGAAATATCGGTGTGGCAGTTGGATGGGCAGCCCTAAACCCCAAACGATGCGGACCTGCTTCCCAGCGCACCTGCTTCCCAGCGCACCTTGCGGGAGCTCCGGATCCTGCGGCATCTCCAGCACGAGAATCTCATGCAGGCCAGGTGATCTGATGCTTTGGGAAATGGAGTGCACAGGTAGCGACGCGAAGGTCATCCACGTTGGTTCTTTCAGGTTTCTGCAGTGTGCGTGCATGCGTTCGTGGTTGCGCGCGCGCACACACGTTTGTGTGTGCGTGTGTGCAAAACTTTCAAGCATCTTGTCCAGATCCAGAATGCTGGCCAATCTGCAAGGGTGGCTTGTGTCGGTCTGCATCTATTTAACTTGATATATTTCGACATTGATGTCTGCACATTGCCATGTCATTGGCGGATGATTAGCCAGGCACGTGTCTGTCCTGAGACCTGGTCGTGCCAGGTCAAGAACATCTTCATGGTGGGTTCCAGATATGCATTCCAGGCACGGACAGGGTTGCTGGTTTCGACCTATGACGATCCTTGACCTGTCAGGAGCTTTACGTCGTGTCGGAGCTAATGGAGACAGACTTGGCATCTACCCTGAGGTGAGGAACTTAGATGTCGTGTGCTTCACAGTGAAAGAGGAGGCATGACAAGGCTAAGTTGCGTTCGTGTCGCTGCAATGTTTCGTCAACAACGAGCTGAGGTCTTCTCAGATGCTGACAGATGATCACTGCCAGCAGGGCGCTAAGCTTGCAGCACTACATGTGATGGAATGCGATGTATGATACTTGTAGCGTCTTGAAAGTGGAGGGTGCCTGCGTGTGGCCAAAATCTCAAGAGCTTGTAGAAGAATTAGAACATGCACCCTTGCAGCCCAATCAATCCAATCGAAGCCCACGCGGAGGTTCTTTCTGTACCAAATCCTTCGGGGAATGAAGTATGTGCACTCGGCTCAGGCGCCAGCAGAAGTACTCGTGATCATTTCCTGTCACAACGTTGACGTCTTTCTGGCTGAAGCATTCCACAGATTCATGTCCACAACAACAAACCCTGTTCTAAACCATCCAAACCCCAGAGAACCCCCAACAACCCTTCAACTACAATCCGCAATAGCTACATAACAGCTCTTTTTTTGCCTGCGGCGCTTTTTGGGCAGGTCATCCACCGAGACTTGAAGCCCAGGAATCTTTTGGTGAACAGCAACTGCGACCTGAAGGCGCAACAACTAACCCCCCCGCCCTTCCCCTCGGTTTAAGCAGTGTTTTCGTGGGCTTATTTGTAGGGTTTCTTGGGTTCATTTGTAGGGTTTAGGGGGTTTAGGGTTTTGGGGTATATTTGTGGCGTTTAGGGGGTGAAAGGGTACTCGTAGGGTTTACGGTTTGGGGTTTTGGGGTTTATTCGTAGGGTCAGGGTTTCATACGGATGTTTAGGGTATTTGTGGGCTCACTTGTGGGCTGAAGTTCTCTTGCGAAAGGGCCAAGCGGGAGAGAAGTTGCAGCTCTTGTTTGCCTCAGACATGGAATGTTCCCCCTTATACTAACAGTCCTTCATAGGGACTATAATAGGGGCATTATATTCCCCATTAAGGACTGTTAGTATAAGGCCCTAAACCCTAAACCCGAAACCCTAAACCCCCATAAGGGGGAACATCCCAACCTCAGACTTTCTTGGCCCAGATCTGCGACTTCGGCTTGGCCCGAGTGCGCTTCTCCGACAAGGAGTGGGTGTGCCCGATGACCGAGTGCTCCTGGCCCTGCCCAGTGCAGTGTGTAGAGCAGGCCCCTTCAGATACATATATATATATATATACATATATATGTATGTAGTTATGTATATATGGAAATCTGTATATCTGTAATATGTATATATATATACACATACATACTATATGTATATATGTATATATGTATATATGTATATATGTATATATGGATATATGTATATATGTAGATATGTAGATATGTATATATGTATATATGTATATATGTATATATGTATATATGTGTATATGTGTATATGTGTATTTGTGTATATGTATATATGTATATATATATATATCCCTTTATGCCTTCATGTGGGGTATGTGGGGTTTTTTTTCGCAGAATGCAGCACAGCCGAAGCAGTGTTTTCGGGGAGGGTGACGGTCACTTTCGTCCTTGGGAGCCTGACGTGTGCCACAGGTACGTGTGCACTCGGTGGTATCGTGCTCCAGAGGCACACAGCAACGGCATCGTGACGACTTTTGAGCCTGTTGCTTGCTGGACATACTTGCCAGGTGCTGTGTTCTTGGACAGACTACTCATGTAAGGCACTTAGTCAGTGGCCTGGGTGGCGAACAAGAGCATTGCGTATCGGACAGTTCCAGTTTCCGTCCAGCTTGATCGTCAATGTTGTTGTTGCACGTGCTTCGGAGCAAGAAGCACGTGGAAGCACCCTACAGAGGGGCGCTTGTACTGGCCTTTCATCAACCAATCCCTTGCCAATGGTTCCATGCTGCCTGTAGCTTATCGCTTCATTACTGGCAGGTCTATGAGACTGGGTGTTTCTCGGTGTCGTGACGCTTGTTGTTGCGGTTGTTGTGATTCCGTTCCCTGCAGCACGATTGCGACAAGATGGCTGTTGTAACAAGCGGTCATCGCGAATAGCGCCACCTTCATTGTCGTCTGTTGTTCTGATGTCGCCATTTTGTACTGATTAGCATTATTGCTTGTTGTTACATATTTCTCTTTTTCTATTTGTATTCTTGTTATAAATTAGTGTGATTGTCATTCGTGTTGGGATTGCAGCCCTGCCTCCTCTGATTCGCATTGCTCGCGCTGGTGATGAGGTGCCATTGACATCTGGCCGGGAACTCTAGGGGGTGAGTGCTGCAAAATGGTGCAGACTACATGATGCTCACCGAACTCGCTCGTGGGATGTTCCCCCCTTATACTAACAGTCCTTAATAGGGATACTACTCGGGGGTACTATAATCCCTATTAAGGAGCTGTAAGTGTAAGGGGGAACATCCCAACCAGGTAGCCCTAAGCCCACGAATCCCTTTGAGCAAAAAGCCCCTCGGAGGTCCATCGGCTGCATCTTGGCCGAGATGTCAACGCGCAGGCCGCTTTTTCCAGGGCGCGAGGCCAAGGACGCCCCCAGCAAGCTGTGCCAAGGTGGTGCCAAGCCTTTGAAGTTCTTAGGGTTGGCAGGCCTGCCGGTTGGCCGGTTTAGGGTTTAGGGTTTAGGGTTTAGGGTTTAGGGTTGATGATCCCTTCTGCTGCCCAAGGCAGAGCACGCAGAATCAGCTGGACATGATCATCGATCTTCTCGGCTCTCCTGATTCTCAGGCCCTAAAACCCTAAAACCCTAAAACCCTAAAACCCTGAAACCCTAAAACCCTAAACCCTTCCTCTTCCAGTGCCATGCAAGCTTGTGAGCTGCTTGTGGGAAGCTGCGCCTTCTCGCATCTTGGCCTCCAGGAGCTCATGAAGATTCCGAATGAGAAGTGTCGTAAGTTCATTAAGTGGCAACCTCAGGCGGTTCCTGGTGTAGAGGGAACCTTCATTGCCTTTTCAGCTTTTTTTCCCGTGTTTTTGTGTTCACGGTGCTCATGTGGTCGGCTCAGAGGTCGCTGCCAGTGCACGCGACCAAGAGCTTTCCAGAGGCCAGGGAGCCAGTTGCAAGAGTCAACGGAGACCAACAAAAAGTGCACATTTTGGGATGCTCCACCCTTATACTAGCGGTCCTTAATAGGGATTCTTTCTTCCAGGTCTTCAAATCTATGCCAGAACCTGCGGTAGCCGGGACCTCGGTAAAGCTGATGGATAGAGCTTTTCTCCTTTCTCTCCTCTTCAATCCCGTTGCGACCGGTTACTGCAAGCTTGTCCAGAAGACAACTCCCAGTTAGCTTCAATGCCCGACTTGCAATCCGGTGCCCCTTCAAAGGACATCCTCAGGAAGATGCTGCGCTGGGACCCTTTGAGCAGACTCAGCGTTGAGGAGGCGGCACTGATTGCGACAGTTGGGTCATGCCACGTGAGCTCAGACCGCTTTGCTGGGCGCTTCGTTTCACGGGCAAAATGGCCAAGCATGGTAAACGCAACTTCGTGGAAACATCGTGTAGCAACCCATGGGTGACTCCAGAATGCCGTCTCTGCGCAGCAGGCCATCGCGCATCCTTATTTGGACAAGTTGCACTGCCCTGAGGAGCGTGGTTTGGTTGTGGGAAGGCCTTTTCACTACCAGTCCTCGTGTGGAAGCTGCTCCTGGCAGGATGAACCCACAAGAGAGCCGCTAGACACGACAGACTTCGAGCATCTTGCCTGCGACATGGTCCACGGTTCTCATAATGCACAGTATAAGTCTCCAACTAATCACACCATCCCATGCCCACATGGAGGGCTCTGCCAGATCAATGCGCAGCTGACTGCATCTGTTTGAATATCCTCGGTCTTCGTGGTCACTGCTGCTGTTGCATTGTAATTAAGGTTCGAGCGCAGGAAGATCACGCTACCGGCGCTTCGCGAGGCGTGAGAGTGGCTGCATGGGACAGGTCCGAATACCAAAGCCTCAGCGTTTGAAGCAGAGACCCTAGTATACTCTGAGCCATCATCCGCTTGAAGCATATGTAGCCCTAAACCCCCAGAGCCCAAGTTCCCCAAACCCCCTAACCCCTGTGGAGCAGGAAATTTTCAGAGAAGCGCTGGAGCATTTCCCCGAAGTCAAGGAGCGCTTCGATCAGGCCCGGGCTCGCTGTCAATGACGCTACTAGAAAACGCTGTGTAAGATGGTTTAGCTTGCGTAAGTATGTTTTCGAAAGATAAGCATGTTAGTTAGTGAACAGTTGTCATGCTACCCTTGGCGGTCCGAGCCCTCGTGTCTTGCTTTTCGAGTACCAAGCTCTTGCAGGAAGGTCTGAAGGGTCCCATGCGGTTACCTTGCTCCGTAGATCTGAGATCCTTTAAAAAACCCTAAACCCTAAACCCTAAACCCTAAACCGTGGCTCTGACTGCCACCAAGGCTGTATCTTGAAGAATGTACCGGCTTCCCCCTGAGCTGCCCTTCAGGAGATTCGTTCCGGACATGAGAAGCCGCATGACATCCTCCAGTCGAGGCCTTGATGTTCTCGCCCCGCAGGCAGTTTGGTGGCGGGTTTCATGGTCTATTATCAATATTGATAACTGATATTAATATTAATCTTAATATTAACATTAATATACAAAACGATATATTAGAATTTTATCATTATGTGAGCTTATCATCATATTGTTATATTCTTATGCTAGTAAATGAGTATTGAAATTCGAGCCTGTCCGGAATCGAGAATAGCAACGGTCAGGAAACTGCAGCAACTTTCAGGGCAAGGGAGTCAGAGAGCCCAAGCCGTGTATTCGGGAAACGGTGTAGCCGGGTCAGGAACACGCAAACACTGGAGAAAGCTTATTGGCTTTAGGGTCTATATGTTGGGATAATTCCCCCTTATACCAGTCCTGAAAAGGCATTTTAACAGGGGTACTATAATCCCCATTAAGGAGCTGTTAGTATTAGGGGGGAACATCCGAATTTATGTATGGGTGCGAGCTGGGGGTTGCGGCTGTGGCTGCCCTCTGCAACCGTTGGGCACAGCAGCGTGTTTTTGATCTCCAGTCTTAAAGATTCCCTGAGCACTGGGAGTTTCAGATTCAGGGCTGTGTAGAAGAGGCTAAGTGATATATGAATCACGTGCCATGGTGCAACCTGGGCTTTGAAGCAGTTACGTTCTGAGGTATCGGCTCCTACTACCTGGGGAATCTCAGTGCGCCCAGCAAGAGCCATTGGCCGTAACAGCGGCATGGCCCGCCGCAGAGCCTCCAAGTAGATACCTGAGCAGGTACTCGTCAGATGAAGAGTCCGGTGAGGACATTTGAGTGGCACGCCACTGTCGGCAGCCAATCCCAGACAGGTATGATCTCTGTCTGCAGTACTCGTCCCAACAAACTTTCCTCTCGTCAAAGTAAGCAAAGCTTGGGGAGTATATCCCATATTCTCCCATGTATTCTGGAGTGCAAACCCCGTTCGTGAGCTTTTCTTCTGCAACCTGCGGCCGAGCCGCCAGGCTTGCTGATCTCTACACGTGGGTTGAAGCTGGAGCCACAAGATGATGTTGATTATAGAACTGTATATATGTATACACATAACCTACTATAGTGTGCGATAGTTCATGCTAAATGTCTTGCTCAGACACTGGACAGCCTGTGACTACGTGACACGTTCATTGAAGTCTCACCTGTTTATACACGAGCACGGAGACTCGCTACTTGGCCCGCGGAGGCCCAGGAAGCTCGAAGCAGAAACAAGCCGAGAAGCATGGTCGCAGCCACCAGTGCTGCATCAATACTCCTGTTGCCGTGTTATCCCTAGATTCGTTGATGAGGGATTACGTCGTTCGGCACGCAAAGCCACAGGCCAAAGCCGATGCAAGTCGTTGATACACAACAGCAGCTTAGAGCGGCAAGCAGCCCACGCCCACCAGGTTCAACACTTAAAAGGTTATGACTTTTCTTATTGTTACTATTTTTGTTATTAAGGCCGCGCAATCAGGGAGTGAGCGCTTTGCCCTCCATGCATGGCTCCGGAGGTGCAAGGGCTCTTCTGTCGGGGTCAGACTTCGAGTTTAGGGTTTAGGGTTTTAGGGTTTAGGGTTTTAGGGTTTAGGGTTTAGGGTTTCGGGTTTAGGGTTTAGGGTTTAGGGTTTCCATGGCCAACCCAAAGTTGCTGGGACATGCGCTCAGCTACAGTGAGATGGGAGTTGTGTGCTCACCTACAATCCTCAAGTGCCCGAAACCCTGAACCCCAAACCCTAAGAGGGTTATATGTGCTGAGAAAGGCCGAGGCAGCCTGCAGCCACGTGATGTTCTTTTGCTCAGAGGGCGTGGCCTTGCAGGTTTGTGGCGAGGACGTCGCCGAAGGCGAGGGCGACGATGCAGGGACCCCACAGACATTTTCAGACATAATAAGAACAACATCAACAATGATACGAATAATAATACTAAGAATAAGGATAATAATAAGTTATAATGATTAATTACTAAAACAAATAATAATCATGCAGAAGGGCCGAATTTTGGAGATTCTCGGTCACGGGGTGTTTCGTCTGAGTGCCTCTGCAAAGGTGAGCAAAGCTCTCCATCAAGCGTCTGCCTTGACACAGCCGTCATGTGCTGAGAGGTTTAGGGTTTAGGGTTTGGGGTTTGGGGTTTGGGGTTTGGGGTTTCCGAAATCAGGGGTACCTTATTGGGGTCCTTGTAATAAGGGAATCCTACTCTTGGGGTCTAGATTAGAGGTCCCTTATTTTCGGAAATCCCCAGAACTAATGCCTGACCTACCACATGTGTCCGGAGCTATCACAAGAACCGTCACGGCAGTATGGAGAAGACGTAGGGTCCCAAAGTGTGGTTGTCGCGTGCCCGAGGGCATCTGGGGAGGTGGAGGACTCATGCAATCCGAGTGAACCAGCCCTCTGGTACATGAATGTACATGGCCCCAGTTGCCCCAATTTGCTCACCCCTCAACCCCCTTTACCAGGAGCGGCTCCACCTGCTTTGGGCCCTTTGCCAGGCCAAGGGATCTCGGTGAGGGGCGAGAATCCTCCCCTGATGCGGGAAAGCGAGGGCAGGCTAGTAAGGTCCATGTATGGGGGGCGGCATCTCCACGTGCGGCGAGGCGCAGAACAGCCTTCGACAGGAGCAAGATCTACTGCACCAGGCAGCGAAGTGAGCAGGGCCGGTTTGAAATGGGGGGGCGTTTTTTTGGATTTGGGCTTCGGGCGAATTCAGCCAAAAGGCTCATTCTTCAACAAAGTACGTTTGCTCACTGCGGATACCTGACCGCATTTCCCAAAGTCCGGTGCCGAAACCGAAGCTCAACAACCGCGCGATTCGAAATCTTGGGGTCTCGACTGAAGCTGCACTAAGGTCAACGACAGATAACGACCGCACATAGTGGCTCACACTGAAGAAAGACTCCCGAGAGCCTTTTCAAAGTTTTCACAATACACGCGTACGTATCTACGCAGAGACATGCAGTATACATAGATGTCAGTGTTCATGTACTACTGCAAAAGCGCACATACTTGTGCGTGAACACAGTACTAGGTGCAGAAATGTAGCTCTTATGATAGTTATGATGCAGTTATCCGACCTGTGAAGACTTTCAGCAATATCATGTAGAACGAGCGGAACCAGAGTTCAAAGTTCAGACTTGAGGATAATTGAGAAGAGGGTTGCACTTATTCGTGCTTGACATATGAGTATGGAGGTCATGGCCAGCTGTGATCAACCCTCAGCAAAGTTCGAGTGACGTCTTTCACGCATGCGTTGTCCTTCAAGCCTGGGGCCAGAAACCCCACATAATAACCATACTGTTAGAGCACAGCTGATTCATTGTTGCGGCTGTTTGGGCTTTGCTTGTAAACAGTCCTTATGTTCTTGCATTCTTTTCTCGAGTGTAGATCCCCGCGCTCTATGTTTCACACTTCAGGGTTCTCTACTTGAAGTTTTCGCCAAACTGTTGGCACCATGATCAATGCAGTTGTGTTCGAAAGGTCGCAAAATTCAGTTTGAATTAGCGAATGCCATGTGTATGAGTTGTTGTAATTAGCAATTTACGAGACCTCATAGCAGCTACCTTGTAAATGAAGATACACAGGCGGCTGCGTGCGTGGTTTAGGGCTGGCAGTGTTCTTGTGCTGTTTCCTGCCCTTTTGCTCTGCACGTAATTAGCAGTGCCCTCTGCTGACCTCTTGGATGCTGGTGTGCTGGGATGCCTGAAAAGCCTGATCACCTGGCACGCTCAAGAAAACAGCATAAGTGCTGACATGTTCTGCAAAGCGCCCTGTGCTTCTTACTCTTTAGCACATATACATTATGCCCTGGCGATTGGAAAGCTCGCATCTTGCCTAAGTTTTCAGTCAACATTCTCACAAAAGTCACTGGCCCACATGGGTCTTGAACGGCGACGTAACCTTGCTTTGTCTGGCTGGTTCTTAGTAGGGAATGAGGGAATGAGGTACCCTACATAATCCTTTAAAGGGTATATACAGGGCCCTAATTCCCTCGGTCCCTACCAAGAACCAGGAATTTGTTGGCCGAACTGGCTAGGCAACCAGCGTACAGGAGGAGGTATCACGGCAGTGCTCACACCTCAAGTTGTCACCAGGGGCCAAGATGTTGACATGGAGCAGCCACGCCGCATGACTCAGGCGATGCGCTTCGACACGAGCTTCTGCATGTGGAGGCTGGCATGGCACTCACTTTCCGTGCTCCGCGCCTGTGCCAAGTCGACTTTGGATTCATTGTGCAGGCCGAACTTCAAGAAGCTCGGCATCAGACAGTCCCACCTTCGCCCAGGCCGGCTGCACGGCGCTTGCAGGCAACAGCCACAACATGACATTGACAAGCTTCCAGGCTCCCTTCTGAATTCTTCTGACGCAGGTCGCCAGACGACGACAGCGAGGACCACGGCAGATGAAGTACCCAGAATACTTCTCCGCATTTTTATTGGCCCCATTGTATAGACATTCATTGGCAGCCAAACCCTCTGAGCGGTGAGGACGATTATGCCGAGCTGCGGCAAGCTCGGCAAGACCAGGAAGAGCTGGAGCGGGCACTCCACCAGGCAACTCACGGCCCATGAGCCGAAGCTCAGATTCGCCGTTTTTTCCTAAAAGCGACGCGGGGGTTTCCGAAATAAGGGGTACCTTATTGGGGTCCTTGTTATTTGGGAACCTTACTCTTTGGGGGTCTATATCTTAATGTTGGGTCCCTTGTTTTCGTAAACCCCCATGTGCTTTGAGGGGCTCCTGAACCTCATCATAAACCCTACCCCTAAACCCTAACCCTAAACCCTAAACCCTAAACCCTAAACTCACAAACCCTACACGGGAGGCGGAGCTCCACCTTCGCGAGGCTGGTGGGAAGCTCCGGCCAAGTTCTGTAGCGCCTCGACCTTGGGGGGGTGCCATGCCAGGTGCAGTTGCAGCCAGACCAGGGTGGAGACTCAGCCGAAACTTGGACTGCACCCATGGTTTGGGGGGGTCATCTTGTGGTCACCCCTTCCTATTTCAGTGTGGTTCCCTCTGTTTTCCGGGGGTGCGATGTCCGAATCTTCTGCCTGCGATCGACATCGCGCTCCCGTGCATGTCAAGGACAAGGCGTGAGGCGGCTGAGCGACAAGCAACAGGTGCCAAAAGGGGGAATTTTTCCACAAAGGCATGAAAAGTAGCCTGAACTTCACAAATCCCTCCCCTCCCTCCCTCCCCCCAACTTTCCGCAACAAAAACTTTGGAAGCCCAGGACCATCCAGAAGACACCGGCTTCACGGCCCCGGAGCAAGAGAAGGCAGAGGTGGACATCGGGGCTCATGGAGTTAGCTTTCCCTGCATTTCTTGATTACTATGATGATGATGATGATGATTATTATTGCATATGATTATTATTATTACTCATATATTATTATCATCATTATTATTATTTACTACTACTACTACTACTACTACTACTACTACTACTACTACTACTACTACTACTACTACTACTACTACTACTACTACTACTACTACTACTACTACTACTACTACTATGATTATTACTATTATTATTTTCATATTATTCTTATTATCATGATTATTATGATTATCATTGTTATTATTATTATTATTGTTGCACCCTCTTGCTCTCGAACCCTCTTAAGTCTTGCCTTAAGTCTTGCAATCTCACTCCGAATCTGCTAGCAAGAGATACCACGACATGATCCATGAACCGCAGTGCCCTGCCCGAATGGAGGCGCTTGTTGCCGAGATCCGATGTTTCCGGCGCCGCGAGCAAGATGCAGCGGAGGCACAAGTCGGCACAAGTCGAGTTCGTCGGGATCCGTCTCTCGCCCCAAGTCATCACGTCTTGAATGCGGCTTCTCAAGCGACTAAGATTTTTTAGTCTCAGCTTCAGGTGCAGGCGCAGTCCATCAGATGGTCTCAGTGCGGATAGCTGGACATTTCTGGATAGTGATGCACATGCTGATTACAGGAAGCAGCAGGCCCCCTCGGCTGTGAGATGTTGAAAGATCCCGAAGCTCCGCCGGAAGTCGCTGGTGACCCCATCTGAAACGAGTTCCATCTCACAAGACAGAGCCTTCGTTTTCTGCCCATCTTCGCTTCCAAGTGCGCCCGTGGCCTGTTCCCGCTTTTGCTCTCGATTCCGGGACGTTCAATGTTCAAATGGAGAAGGCCTTCCATGAAGCTGAGAAGAACTACTAATTGCTTAAGAACCCCCCAAAAAATATTCTTCCTTATAAGGGTAATATAGGGATTATCATTTTTCTTTTGGGGTTCTTAAGCAAATAGTAGAGAAGCGCAGAAACGCACCGCCAGAATCGCAAGCAGGTCGTCGTGGGAGGATATGCTTGCCGCAAGAGTGAGACAGTGAAGGGTTTCAAGGAGTTTAGGGTCAAATGTGCCCACAACTGCTCAGAATCTACTCGTATCAGCGAAGCCGAAGCTCTTCCCTCCTTGTTGTTGGATCAACCTAAACCCTAAACCCTAAACCCTAAACCCTAAACCCTAAACCCTAAACCCTAAACCCTAAACCCATCAAAGCCCGCAGGCACAGCGCCTGCGGCAGGATGAGCTGCTGCAGCACCTCCACCTCCTCGAGGCTCCCCTCGACTCTGCCATAGGCTGCAGCACTGTCGCCCTGAAACCTTTGCGAATCATCATGGGGAAGACTAGGACCCTTCAGGAGCCTAAACCCTAAACCCTAAACCCGACTAGATCTTCCGGATCTTCCCGGAATCACCTCAGGCCAGGGGTCGAGACGAGCGCTGGGCCTTGCGCGAGGAATTGACCGAGGCCGGCGTCGAGACTTCCAGGGGGCTGGTTTGAGGTACCGTTTTGGGTAGTTCTGGGCAGCATTGGGTCGGAATGTTGCTTGTGCTCGGCAGTTGCTACTCCCCAATCCCTGTCTCCGAATCAGAGGCCTGTGTTCATGCGGAAGTGCTACACTCGGAGATCAGTGCCGAAAAGAAAGCCCGCGAAGCTACGCTTGAGCGTGCCGATCTCGGCATTTGCCAAACATGGCTGAAGGTTTTCCATGTTAACCTAGAATCGCCACAAGCTGTGAAGATGTCAATGTGACTAAGGTTTGCGGGAGGAGGAAGTGTACCTCGTTGGCCAGGTGCCACGCCTGAGTCAGAAGTTTCGGTTATCTAACAATGCTTGGGGCCGACCGGATGTAGGTTCCGCACAGTTGAGATGTTGCCACTTAGCTTGTGGCTCGACCTCGTTGCATGCTCGGGCAAACGACAAAGGGCAGCAACAGTGCCGCCGCTCAGCGCAGCCTTTCGACGGTATGTCGCTAAAAGCCCTGATGCTTCGCGTGGCTCTCTGTCAGTGTCGAGGGATCGTGCCTCTGGTGAGGTCAGTGAGGTGCAGGAAGAGGCCGACCACGTCTCGAGGAGCTTAAACCTTAAACCCTAAATCCCTGAGCCCTAAAATCCTTAAACCCTAACACCCTCCTATATCCCGGTCTGGCACAGGAGCTCCTACTGGTCTGTGCACAGTGAGTCGATTTGCTCCGATTGGTCCGAGGCTGTGCCTGTCGGAACAACTCTCAACTCCCCACAGTCTTCGGATACACTGATACATTCTGTGAAGACAGTCTGTATTACTCTGCATCGCTCTGTGAATGTTGAGATGTTGAGCTCCTTCACCCCTCTCAGCATGCGAGCCTCATCCCCCTTCGCTTCGAAGCCTGGTCACAAAGCAGAGTGCTCCAACGTGTTGCAGGTTGCGCGTGCGCGCGCGGCTCTGGAGCCGTTCGACATCAGCACACCGCGCGGCCAGGCAGGACCAGTCTCAGCGACAGTTAGTGCGCCTTGTGCCATGCAGGCCAGGAGAATTCGGCAGCTTTACAGAGGATACCGTAGCTGATGTCAACCACCAGAAGCACCGGCACACATACCGGCACCAACCAATACGGCATGCGGGCCATTCTGGGCTGTGGCCCCTCCAGGCCTCCACTCCTTCACCGACAGAGGCGGAATCCCCAGGCCCAGCTTGCTTTCATATGCTCTGAGTCCTTCAACGCGGCCTTGCTGCCGCAAAGACTCGTTCAGGACGAACGTCTTTGCTGTCGGAACTCCGGGGAAGTCGACGAGAGCCTGGTTCCTGGTGGCATGTGCTTCGAGAATTTTCTACGATTCTGCACCTACGGCACCCAACTGGTGGGTCCGGTACATGCTCTTTGCTTCTGGGGCATTCATAGCCTCGTACGAGCAGCAGCAGAAGCAGTTTCAAACTGACCTTCAAGGCGAACTCGTGCCTCCCTAGCAGCATACCGCGTCGGCCTCAAACTTTCTCGAGAAAAGCTGGGGGGGGCATCCTTGGGGAGTTGTCAGCACGCCGCGCAGTGAAAGCAGAGGTCCGTTGCAGGGCGGAGCATCCATGCCGGATCAAGGCTGGCATGCCACGTGAGACACGACTGAACAGAGAGCTGCCGGATGTCCTCCGAGCATGTACGCGTGATCTTGCATGTATATCGAATGTAGGACAGCCAGGGAGTCCGGAAGTACCGGACGCCTCGGCCGTACCAGGCAGCTTGGCTGAAGTGCTGGGTGCAGCGAGGTGCAGTCAGTATGAGGGAAAACTACAATTACGATGTTCGAAGTGGAACTTCTCGGCAGGGGTCGGCAGGAGCCTAGACCATCCTAGACCAAGAAGAAAGTTAACAGCCAGCTGACCTGTTTGCGCTCCAGGACATTGGAACATTTTGGAGCTCTTGTGGGACTTGTAAATCCTTTGTTACCAGTAGTCCTTTGGTTGGTTGTGCTTTGGTCACTGGGTGCGGCTCCAAGGCAAAGCCCGTCGTGGAGAGTGGGCTTCTCAGATTCGGCCCTGCGCCAAGCTGCGTTTGCCTCTCCAGACAATGCAGGCGCCACCGCTCTTCTCTGGCTTCTTTCCGCAGTGTGGATCGCCTTGGCCAAGCGAAGGCTGTGGCAATTGCGGTATGCGTACCGCAGGGGATCCGAGTTCTGGAGTCCCCCCCCAAACCGGTGCTCCGTGTGGCACGTGACTGACAGTCAAATCTCAGAGTATCAGCAGTTGAGGACACCTCCAAGTTTAGGAGCATCTCAGCAGTCAGCACCCTGGCAGCTTCCAACTTCAGATATTGACTGCCGCACAGTCAGTTGACGCTTGGTATCTTGTGTTTACAGACATGTGTGGAGCATGGCCAACAAGAGAGTTTATATGTTGATGAGAATGTGCGTCGAGATAGACCCCGATTGACAAGACACGTTCATAGCCTCGCAGGTCGGCAATACCCAGGCGTCCGCCGCCCAAGGCGAGTGCAACATGCCGATTGTAATTTCACACTCAGCTGGAGCGTACGTCTGACAGGTTCAGCGCAGCGCCTGAGCGTGATCGGGGAAGAGGCACGGGAGTATTCTTAAGCATGACGTCGCAACAGCACTTCCCTGGGCTTACCAAGCCATAGCCGTGCACAGTGTTCAAGCGGGCTTAGGAAGTTTGCAGGTGTGGCGGGAGTCCATATTAGAATATGCATGTGAATGTGACGTTGGGTACAAGAACGTTGAGCTTTGACAGGAGCCGGCTGTGCCAGCCGCGAGCAGCGAGCTGTCGAGACCCCGGCAATTAGGAAACCAGGGCAGGATGCCCTCAACCCTAAACCCTAAACCCTAAACCCTAAACCCTAAACCCTAAACCCTAAACCCTAAACCCTAAACCCTAAACCCTAAACCCTAAACCCTAAACAGGGCAGGATGAGGAGGTGACCGAATGGCCTGCTCTCTCTGCTCTGTCTCAGGAGCGGGGCCGCCTTGCAGGAGGCCTCCGGCCTGCCAGCTGACAAGGAAACCTCCATGCCGGAGGCACGACCGCGAAGCCAGCTGCAGCAAGCGAGTCGAGGGTCTTCACATATGTATGCAGGAAGAGTCACATGCAATAGCTACTGCAGCTAGCTAGCACAGTACTCAGTAGTGCAAAAACTGTGGCATCTCACTCCCTTCACAGCCGATTCGGAAGGCCCACGAAGGCGCTGCCGAAAGCATCGAGTCCCAAAGCCTGGGAGGTGCTTTGACAGGCTGGTTCTTAGTAGGGATTGAGGGAATGAGGGTACCCTATGGAATCCCTTAAAGGGTATATGTGGGGCCCTAACTCCCTCATTCCCTACTAAGAACCAGGGGGTTGAACTGCTGCACGCGCGCTGTGTTGTTTTCCATTCAATCGAGAGGCGTGTAGAAACACACTGTTTAAACTAGTTTCTAGCGCGTTTGTCCTGTTGGGGGCTTGCTATGCTGCCTTTTGTAGCCCTAAACCCTAAACCCTAAACCCTAAACCCTAAACCCTAAACCCTAAACCCTAAACCCTAAACCCTAAACCCTAAACCCTAAACCCTAAACCCCCTCCATGTCGCCGGGCTCAGCTGGCTCTTCAGGCGCTTCGGACGATGTGGCGGCGAGGCGGAGTTTGAACTGTTCTGTGGTTTTGGGTTTAGAGTGGAGGGCCCAATTCTATTGGGTCCCCTTTTTCGGCGGGCTGCGACCCCCCCAACCCCCCCGGGGCTTTTCAAAGCCGCGCAAGCTTGTTTCAAAGCATATGAATCGTTTCAAAGCATGTGAACGGCTGAAACCCATGATGCGAGCATTGTGTTTGCAAATGGGGCGGGCCTGCGCGCCCCCTAACCCCCCCCGCTTCCCCCCCCATTCCCCCCGGTTTTTTATAAACCGTGCAAATCAAAGCTTGATTCAAGGCAGATGAGTCTTTTTGAACCCAACATGCGAGCATTCAGTTTCACATGGGGGGTTGCGCCCCCCGCAACCCCCTGGCTCTTTTAAGCCCTGCAAGCTTGCGAGCAAAACTTATAAGAATTCCTACGAAAAAGTAGCATGCATCCGATTAAATACTGAGGGAAAGGAGGTTTCCGTGGAAAAACCAAGAACACGGACCGAATCCTATGAAAACATCGAGGGAGTGGAGGTTTTCCTAAGAAAAGCCAAGAAAACCGACCAGCACAAGAACAAGAAGACCTCCCTCCCAAAAAATGACCTAGGAAAACTTCGCCCGTTGAGGGTTTAGGGTTGCTGGGCAAAGGATGGCAGAGGTGGTACTCCGAGCAGGATGATGAAAAGACGTGCAACGGATGTGCCGAGCATGAAGTGTTCTGCGCTGCAGTAGACTAGACACTTCAGAACCTGGGGCCTCGCTACCTGTGCTGAACCCTTGACCCTAGCCCCTAAACCCTAAACCTAAACCCTAAACCGCCTGAAGGTGCCGCGGGGTCTTGGAATGGACCCTTTGTTCCAGTCTGAGCTGCAACGGGATGAGAAGCTTGACGTTCTTCGGCTGTTCCGAGAGTTGCCAGCCGGGGATGCATTAGGTCCAGAGACTGGATCAGCCACAGCACAGTCGTCTCCTCGTTGGGCTGGCCAAGCTCTCAGCAAACTCGAATCTGTCGACCAAAGTCTGGAACCCCTACCGGGCATGGATCAAGAAGTCACTAAGTGGCTCGAGAGACCACCAGGCCCATCATTTGGTTCAGCCCTTCAGCTCCATGTGACGCTCCAAGGCCCAAGCCTTTTCCAAGTGGAGCAAATGGCAACGGGACGCAAGGCGTGGTCGAGGATACCCAGATACCCTCTTTCAAGCAATGGTCTTCAGATATCAACAGGTTTTAGCTGGGCCAGGTCTTTCGTCTTTCGCAACAGCCCGCAGCCCGGACGATCGCTCCGAGTATTCCTAGACTAGTTATTCCTGCCATTCTTTATGATGCTGCTGCTTCTTCCTTCACCTCGTGATGTTTATCTTACAGTTTTCACAACCAAGGCTTGCCGGCCCCGTTGCAGAGGCTTGGTTGGGAGCGTGCTGGGCCGATCAGTTCGAGACATGCAGAGCACTACACCTGATCATGCAGGGTCTCTCCATCCCTCTGCTGGCCATTGCAGCTGTTCGCGAAGACAAAGAGGCCAACCTAAACTGCCTGAGGAACCATTTGCCGTAGCATCTTCAGAGCAGATGCGGGCGCAGGACCCGCTGGGTCTTGTCTTCGTTGTGAGGTACAAGGCCCATTGTTCAGAAGCTCATAGCGATGTTTGTGCAAGCTTTAGTGCATTCAGTTCCTGAGACCAGCCTCTCTCAGGCAGTGGGCGAACGCGTTCAGGTGCACTTTCGGGCAGCACCACTCAGACCGTTCTGCAGCAATCCTGCCGACTTCTCCTGCTTGAAAAGGCCAGCACGCAGCTCCACTCGTAGCACTTGAACTCCAACTTGCACTAGCGGAGCAGACAAGGTAATGCAGCAAGGGGCAGTGGCAGGTCGCGAAAGACGGCCGACAGGCTGTCCCATATTGTCCTGAGGCCGCAACGAAAGAAAGCCGTTCCTCCTGGGTCTCATCGCTTTGCCAGGCTCGGCCCGAAGCACGCATTGGTCTTTAGATACCTCCGCGGGTCCAAGCCGGCGGTGCCGTGCTCCTGCTCCTAAAGCAGTAGCCTATTCCCGCAGAAAGTTGCTTGTCAATGCAGCAGTATATCTACACTACGAAAAAGTGGCAATGTATAGCTTCAGGGGCATGTACAGTCTACAGACCTGGCCAGGCCATCCACGAAGCCCGCCTGTGCGCAAAGCCCTCCAAGCCCCCGAGAGTCGAAGCCAAGGTTGGGGCACAAGTGATGATCAAAAGGGGATCCATGGTTGTCAAGTGCATTTCCGGCATAGGCGTGAGGGCTCTCTGAGATTCGTACCCAAATCGCCCAGCTCATCGCCCCGTCACGCCCGTCCCGCACTCGCAAGGTGCCTGAGGGGGCGTAGAGCGGAGCGCGTTGCCTTTGTTGAGTGACGTTGAGGCTAGTGTAGTGGCAATCCTGCCAGAGCCTGCATAACGCACCCTCGGCTTCAGTGCTGCCTGGGGTTGCACACCCGGCCCCGCAAGTTGGTTGCTTTGTATGTATATATATATATGTATGACATGTGTGCTATCATTAAAAGAAGCATGAGTTCTAACGACAAGGGTTGGTGATTCTACCTTATGTTTCATGAGCTATACATCCGGAGAAGATGATGCACTACAGTATATGTTGCCCTGTCTCTGTAGTATGCATGTACGTATATTGTAGTGCTTGGGGGTTTCATGAGCCCCGCAGCAAGCTCGTACTGAAGCCGAGATTATGTGAACGCGCGCTGGCTGCATCCTGAAACTGCTACTGTAGAGCAAGGCCCATCGGGTCCTTGCTTCAATGCAGGAAGAGTCGACGTCTGAGTTCTTTTCAGTTTGCACTCCGTTCGGATGTGACCAGTGCGGTAGCAAACGAACGCAGTTCGGGGGTGTGATGGCGGTACCCAAAATGCACGCTACGGACTCTACGGATCACGTCCCAGAGCGCTCCGCCCGTAAAGGTTGCTGCTCGAATGTGTCCACGTGAGCTCTTCGAAAAGATGGGCTTGGTGAGTCCAGGATAGAAGGGTGCTTTAGGTCGTGGCAGGGCCGGTGCAATTGCAGTTTCCTGGGTTCAATGCATCTTATGTCTTGTCTGCAATTTTAAGCGGCAGCTGCTTACTTATTGCTTATTGCTGTTGATCTTCTGATGGAAGCCAGGAGTTGAACAATCACATGCTTGTGGGGCCTTTGCATCAGGACAATGGGCTATCGAGGAAGACACTTGAAGGTAGGTTACGGATGCTTAGTAAACAAAGTGGTTTCGTTGAAGCCTGGCTATGTATTGATTAATTCTTGAGTTGGCTTCAAGAGGCCTCGAAATTCCGAGTCCGATACGGAGGGGACGAGTTTATCTTGAGAATTCGGAGGGCTTAGATGGGTTAGGGTATGTGGGCTACCAAGATGGTCCATCCAAAAATGATAGACGTTGGGCGTAGACGTTACTTATCTGTCTTCACACCCTTTGTGCTGCCACTGCCTCGGAGGCATGCCCAATGAGGCTGGCTGCTAATGCCTGTCTCAAACCTTCTGCCGTTCGTGGCAAAAAAGCATGCGGGCTTTAGGGTTTAGGGTTTAGGGTTTATAGGATTTAAAATTTAAGGTCCCACTTTATTCCAGACATTACGTACAAACTACAAGCTGCTTAGTTCTCATGGTTCGCGGTGCCGACGATGCACTGCCAAGAACATGCATACAGTCATACATACACATAGACATGCATGCATAAACACATACATACATAAATACAGTTACATACATACAGTTATATGCGTACATACATACATCATACATCCTGGAATTTGATGCGGGCCTCCTTCGATTCGTTCGCGGGTTGGACGTGTAATGAGGGTTTTTTGTTTCCTTCGCTGTCACTATCTATATGAGATGGCTGTTCTGAACCCCCGCCTCTGCACGGTAGGCTTGAGTGCGAAGTTATTCTGGATGTAGGCTCTGGACAGCCAAAAAACTCTGCAGCGCGCAAAGGCGCAAGGGTGAAGCGCAAGGACGAACAAGTGCACTCTGGAATCGGAGCTTCCGGACGACACAGTGCGCAAGGCGTGTACAAGATATGCTCAAAGTGGGGCAGGGCTTAAGTTTAGTGATTCGGGGTGTGGGTACGTTTAGGCTTTCCGAGAGTACAAAGGCTTCTACTTTGCAGACTTGCCTCGTGAAGATTTCATGTTCCAAAACACTGCTGTGCGTCTTCAACATGGAGAAGTGCTTCAAGCTCGGGCCCCCCAAAGAGCGTGCAGTGCAGCGCAAGATCAGATTTCAATAAGGGCAGCTGCACTGGAGTAAGAAACGAGCAACACATGCAGTTTCAGGTTTGTCGGAGAAGCTTCAGCAGGATCCTGGGCTTCCGGGGCCTGGGTCGATGTTCATGTCACGTGACAGAGTTTAGGGTTTAGGGTTTAGGGTTTAGGATTTAGGGTTTAGGGTTTAGGGTTTAGGGCTGCCCTACATCTGCCACTTTCGGCTCTTCGGCGGAGCTGCTGGAAGGTGATTGTGACCCGGTTGCCGGCACTGTCCAAGAAGGCCGAAGTCTATCCGAAACATAATTCGAACCAGTAGCCCAATGTCCCACTATGTCCCACTGCACATGGCCTCCGTGACTCACCCGAACTGCGAACTCATCGCTTGAAAAAGCAGGTGCTTCGCATGGCGTGCTCACAGAAGGCTCGGCCTTGCTCTACAGGTGCGGGGATCATTGACAGAGCATTCACACAAAAATGTCGATAAACAAGTGTAACTGTGCGATGTTAGTACAGTTTCCTGCAAGAAATATATTTTTATCAGAACATGGCGAGTACATGAGCATGCATTCACCATGGACACTTGAGGCCAGTTGTAAAGTAGAGCAAGCGCCTCCCGAGACTACAGTGAATCGAGGTAGTGTAGACCATTGCTTCGAAACTGCCAACTGCAACTGTGAGACCTGGGCACGGTCTTGGATGTGTCCATGGATGACACGACGAGGAGCGGTCAGGGTGTTGACTCTGGCAGAATCACCTCTTTTCCCTCAAATTCTGAATCAGTACATGCGCACGCAGTCAGAAGTGATTTGATTACGTTGGATCTAAATAGACGGTCAACCCCCCTTGTGGGTTGTGCGAATTAATGGTAAACGCTTGCCCTCGCCGCCCCGGCAACGGGCCAACGCGGGGCGTAGCGTGCGCATCGGAGATGCACTTGGTGCAGCACCACGCATCATGCCATTTTAGGGTTTCAGGGTCCCAGTAGGTCCCAGCAAAGGGCCTTATCAGGGGGGTTCCAGGTCGGACAGGGGAGGGGCGGGGAAAAATTTGGAGGGGGCGAAATTGGTCTCCTTGTTCCAGACGCCTCTTGGCCAGAAGTCGAGGCGATTTTTCCCTAGGAGTGCAGAGATCAAGTGTTGCCTGCGCACCATTTCGCGTCTCCTTTTTTCACACTCCCCTCATGCAGAGGCCTCCCTCGCCAAACGAAGAAGCCGCCACCGTCGGCGACTTCGCTTGCCAAATCGGATGCTTGTCTAAATGCTTGTTTCATTGTTTGTCAATGCTTGTCATGGCCCCTCCACCCCCGTCCTCCTTCGCACCAGCAGCATCATTTAAAGTCAGTCACACCAAACCAGTGTTGGATGCTTTGCTGAAGCATTTCCGGCCAGCACTCTTGCAGGCTTATGTAGCCCTGGTAGCCTGCTCCATGACCCAAATGGAGGTCACTTCTTGGCTGCAGATTGTCGGGGGAGGAATGTTTTGCTGGGCGTCGATCTGCATTGCCAGCCTTGTGCTCTACACGGTAGTTCCAGACAAGGCATCGCTTCCAAGCATGCTCCTGGCGATGGTCATTGGTTCGCTCGCGATGGGTGCTGTGATCCGCGCACTCATCAGTGACAGATGCAGGCGGCAATCGGCGTCTGAAGACGTGCAGGAACACATTTGCGCATCAATGCGTTATGGTTTCATGGAGCCCCAGCCAAAGTTCCGTCGCGTTCAAATGCGAAGGAAAGAAACAGCCAAGGGGACTAAGTCAACCACAACTGTCCTAGAGGAAGTGGATGTCTTATGGCTCCGATCTAGCTTGCAGGCGACGCAGACCTGCGTCTGCTGTTTGGAGGAGTTCGATGCTCAAGACATGGTGTCCTTGTTGCCGTGCGGCCACATATTCCATGAAACTTGTCACGCTGACTGGCATGCTCTGAAGAAAGCAACTCATGCTTGTCCAATTTGCCGCGACCTTTGGGCAAACGTTTGACACATGCATCAGCGTTCTTTCCAGCGCATTCCAGCGCCATTCTCAGCTTGGATCGATGATGGTTTGTGCGCATTGGCGTCGGTACCATCCCGCCGAAGATCTGAGAGCGCATCCTTCCTGCGACGCCATCCGTTCCAGAATACATGGCAACGGAAATTCAACGATTCAAGCGAAAAATGTTTCGACTCCCAGCGTTCCGCGGCCGGATCTCGAAGTCTCAGGCACCGGCACCTGGGAGCAAAGTCAGCCAGAGTCCATCATCAGAGGAAAAAGAGTGGAGCCAGGACAGGGCTGCCATCGGAAACCATATCCATGCACCTGCTCTTCTTGCAGACCAAGGAGCACTGCCGCGCTGCTCCACGCAGCTCACTCTCCGAGAGGTTGCCAAGCTTTTCCTGTCCACAGGCCCACCTTCGATTCAAGAGCGAGGGGTTTAGGGTTTAGGGTTTAGGGTTTAGGGTTTAGGGTTTAGGGTTTAGGGTTTAGGGTTTAGGGTTACTGCTGAAGCGATCGCTTAAACAAGGAGGGTGCAGCCTGGCTTACAAGAAAGCCCCGTAGCTCCCTGAGGTTTGCATTCCAAGGATAGAAGCCTGCGAGCATATTCTAGCCTAAGCTCTGTGTCAGGTCAAGCTGCCGGCTGCGTGGTCAACGAGCCCCTCGGATGAAGAGCCCTTACGGTTCAGGGTTTAGGGGAAAGGGTTTGGAGGTCTTGGCACTTCTTCGAGTGATCAGCTAATCCAGCTGGGCATCGAACTCTTGTGTCACGCCGCGCGTAAAAAGTGCTGCATCTGATCGGTCCGCTTCAAGCAGCTCCGTCAGATTCGTGCGCAACCAAGGGCGGATGAGCCTGTAGGTGTCATCACCGAAGACGACATTCTCCAGAGCAGCCCAGCAGAATACGGTTTAGGGTTTAATTAGGGTTGAGGGTTTAGGGTTTAGGGTTTAGGGTTTAGGCTTCAGGGCTGTGCCGCTTGTGCTAGTGACAGACTCTTGAAGAGGAGCGGAGGCCTGCTCAGCCGCACAGGTGTTGAGCATTGTTGAGCGCTTGGGAGGTTGTTGGCAGTTAAACCCTAAACCCTAAACCCCAAACCCCAAACCCCAAACCCTAAACCCTAAACCCCTGCTGATGGCCTCTGAGGTTATGTTCAAGGTGCCCCCTGGACGACGACAGTCGGACAATGGATGCGCGGAGGCCGCTGAAGCCCCATGCCTGACCTGCTCCAATCGATGCAGCTGCCTGGTACAGCTGCTCTTCGGTTTTCATGAGAGCGTCCCTAAACCCTAAACCCTAAACCCTAAACCCAAACCCTAAACCCTAAACCCTAAACCCTAAACCCTAAACCCTAGACCGTGAGTTCACTTGGAAGGGGGCGGCGTTGCTTTTGACGCGCCGGGCCTGGAGAAGACTCGCAGCGAGCAGTGCCTTGCCCAGGGCGCAAGATGCTTGATCCCAGAGACTCCAATACCCTTAATTAAATTAAGAAATTTTCCTTAAACCATATAAGGAGCCCTATTATAATTTAAGGGATGTTCCTTCATTAAGGGGTATTGGAGTCTCCTCGGGTCTGTCGTTTAATTTCTGCGTGGGCTTGCGTAGGCAGGACAAAGCCTGCTATAGTATGGTTTGGCAGGAGTTTATCGCCTTGCCAGGCCCCTGCGCGAAGCGTTACCTTCTCTACGGCCAGCCCTCACCCGGCGTGCATCGCGGCCACGCCCTTGAACAGAAATCGAGGGTGCAGGAAGGAGGGAGAGAGAGAGAGAGAGAGAGAGAGAGAGAGCGGCGGGGCAACCCCCAAGCCCCAAGAAAGAAAGAAAGGCAGAAAGAAGGAAAGAAAGAAACAAAGAAAGAAAGAACGAAGGAAAGAAAGAAAGAACCATCTTCTGACATAGGGGAGGCTTTGCTGCACAATGGGAAGGGATGTCATAATTCGGGGCAGGGCTACCACACGCCACTTCACTGAGTTAGACATGCATGTTTTTACCTTCGCCTCCAGCGACCGAGACCGAGGGAATGCTTGTTGTGTTCCGACCTTGGTGTATTGATTGATGAGGCAAACCCGCCTTACGCAGTTTTCTGATGTTGTGGTCTCACGCCGACTGTGGGACTTAGGCGCGCCCTGCGCGCGGGTGTGCGGGAAATCCCCTACCCCCATGCCGGGCAGAAGGAGACGAAGTAGAAGTAGAGGAGGGACAGAGAGATGGATCAATAGTGAACCCATTCCTGTGGTTTCACGAGTCTCTGTGATCAGGCACCGAGAGAGACAGAGAGAGAGAGAGAGCATCAAAAGCTTTCCTCCCCAATATACTCTCCTTATCACCGCTATTTTTCCGAGAAAGGGAGCTCAGGAAGCACACCAGAGATTGTGTGGAACCACAGACTTGGACACCTTCTGCTTGTCACCATGGACGGGTCTCCTGCGGGAGTGATGGCGGCCTTTTCGGAGAAGGAGGGAAGAGATAGTCGACTCAATCGCTACAGTGCAGAGCGTGATGCATCCACGTCAGCTTATCCAGCGCGAAATCTCGAGGGCGAATCCCGTTGAGACCCCTCACTCAAAGTACGGGCCTTTTGCTATACTTATGGCGGATCAAAAGGATTTCGATAAGGTCATTCCTCGATAGAAGGGTTCATCCAAGAGGCGGTGGCTACTGCAGCCTGCAAGCACGCGCAAGGGCCAAGTCTTGCATTTGTGAGGGCATGGTTCCTGCGCCACTTGATTCCACGCTGGTTGCTGGACCAACCCAGCAAACCCAATATCTCTTCCCCGTTAAACTTGCGGAACTCTGTAGTCATGCCATGCAGGAGTTAGAAGTGTGGATGTGTCATGGACTCTTCAAGCACTAGCTCGCAAGTTCATGCAGATGATCCGGGAGTGCATCGCAATATTTGAGTTCTCCTGTGTTCTGCTCAGAGGACTTTTTTAGTACTTTTTTTACTCACAGCAAGTGCTGATTATGGTATTCTCCATGTTGAGGCAGCTGCTGGTTGAGCGGCAGCCCAGCACGGGGTATGCAGGGGGCTTGCCGCTTGGCTGAGACGAATTGAAAACCTAAGGGAAGCTCCACAGGAGGTCTACTTGCACCATAATCCAAAAGGGAAGCTAGGGGCTTATCAAAATCTTCTGTAGAACCAGCTGTATGTACTGCTACTGATGAGGCCGTTCCATGCGAACAAGAGAGCTACCTTCCGCGGGCTTACGACAATGGGGGACCCCTAATATAGACCCCCAAACACGAGGATTCCCTTATAACAAGGACCCCAATAAGGTACCCCCTAATATCGTAAACCCCCATACTGATAACAATTGATCAGTCCACATTCCGGAGGCTCTCGGCCCGGGACATTATGCTAGCCCTAGCAGAGGGCCAGGCCTGGGCCCTACCGAATGTTGCACGAGCTTCAAGGATTGTTTCAAGGATGAGTTCAGGCGAGGTGCCAGTCTGACCCGAGAGAGCCTCTCTCTGCAGAGCTTTTGGGGCTGGCTGTCTGAACATGTTGCTGAGGCCCGGGACTTGCTTGACTTGCTGGGGCTCCGCACCACGCGCCTGTCCGTCAAGGATATCATGGAGCCGGTCGGGCAGGCCGGAGGGGAAAAACACCCACTTTTTCTTCTTCTTTGTAGGGTAGGGTGTAGGAACTTTAACTCATTCAGTAGGTTACCATAAGAGGGAAGACATCTAGTTCATCTAGTTTCCTGTCCTCAGCAACCTGAGGCCCCAGTGCTTCGAGCAGGATTCACCGTCCGCGAGCTACTCCAGGAGCCTTGGCATTATCTAATACTACTAACAATAATGGTATATAATATTAAGAGTAATACTAACAATAAATAATCATAATAATGGTAATAATAATAGAAATAGTAATAATACTTTAAGAATGCTATTCATAATAATAGTAATAATTGTCCTCATCATGCCAAGCTTTTGTTGGGTGAAATGCCTCACAAGAGCATTTCTTGCATGGACTCTACACGTTTGTTTTTCGGTCCACGGGACAACTCGATTCGCACCCGTGAAAATCTGCGAAACATGGTGAAACCACCGACCGCAAGGAGCTTCTTTCATCACCGAGCCGCGCTGCCTTGGTGGGAGGGGGACATGCTGGGAGGTTCATGGTACTTCGTAACCAATTCTAACTGTACTTATAGCCCACTTGTAAGCCCCTTAAGTGCCCTAATATGGTTATAAGTACAGTCATAAGTGCAGTTATAACTGGTTAATAGGTACCATGAACCTCCATGTGGGACATGCCCAGTCATGCACATCAACCCTTTGACCGTGCAGATGGAGGTTCTCCCTTAGGTACGTGCTTGGTAGACGCTTTTCCACAGCCCTGTGTGTTGCAATCGCTGTGCAGGTCATGGATGGCAACAGGATTCACGGCCTGGCGACGGTTGCAGCTTCTGGCCTCATCGGTCTGGATAGGAGGGAGCGGTCGAGGGGCACTGAGCAGCCAAGGACGCCCTTTGGGCCTTCGATCAGCAGTTGTCGCACACACTGGATGCTTGGGATCGCTTGGCCGCAAGGCCTCTTTCCAAAGTGGGGAACCACCGAGCAATCGCAACACATCGCAATCACTGCGCTATTGGGGGGTTTCCGAAACTAGGGGTACTCTTTTTGGGGGTCCCTTTAGGGGGGATTCTATCCTATTTGGGGTATGAAAGGGGTACCCCGATTTTGGGAAATACCCCTAAACCCTAAACCCTAAACCCTAAACCATTTAATTACTCTTTGGCACACGCTGACATCACGCGGCCCTCCTCCGCAGACCTGGCCGACCGGCTCTCCACGGCCAAGCCATCCCGGCAGATGCCGACCTGCGGCTGGGTGGAAATTTTCAGAGTGGGGTTTAGGGTATAGGGTTTAGAGTTTAGGGTGGGGGATTTCTGGATGCTGTGGGTATATCCGAGGTAATTACCGGGTACCGGGTGCTAGCTGCACTGTGCACCATCACCATGCCCTCCGACCTGACTGTTTCCCCGTGGACTTGTTCTTGCAAGCTGCTGCTCTGAAGGTCTCATGCATTGACAGCGCTGGCTGCACCAGAGGGCATCTCGCAGCAATTGTGTAAGTAAGTTAGGGTTGCAAAGCAATGTCAAAACTCGAGATAGTCACAGCTAGCATGAACTATAGATCCAGCTTCATCTTGCCTTACGAACATGCGCACCTTACCGTAGAAACTCGGCGACCTGCTCACGGGCAGACAGCATCAAGAAGCAAGAGTGAGCCATTGCACGTGCAGGATCGTAGCTGTGCTCAATCTTATTCCTGCGCTGTTCGTCAGGCACTGTGCGACATCTTGTAGCAATGGAGCCCGGGACAAGCAACGTTGTTGGAGTCGTGTCTCCGGAGCAAGTGGCTGCCCGGGCAGCATTTTCATCATGTGTGCTCCCGCTTTCCCTGCCCATGCTGTCACGAGCCTGTCGCAGGGAGCTAGCAGCTAGCAGCTACTGCCTCAGATTGAACTCTTAAGCGAATTCTGAGAGACATTGAGAGCCAAGTACACGGACTCCACGTGAAATCGCCTCAGGTTTCTCGACGGACCTCCCGGCAAGCAGTTCCAGTGCCCTCCTGTGCACCTGAGATCAAGGTCGAGCTGAGGCACAAGAGCCGAGACGCTGATAGCGTTGTCAAGAAGGAGGAGACGGACGAGCATCCGGCAGCGAGTGCCAGGATAAAGACAGAAGTGAAGGTTGAGCTGCAAGAGGGTCAAGAGGTGAAGTGTGAAGAGGTGAAGTGTGAGGAGGTCAAGTGTGAAGAGCCAGCACCCAAGAAGCGAGCAGTGATGCGAAGGAGCAAGATGGACAGAGAACTTGAGGGTGATGTGAGGAGCCAGGTGACTTTGGCTGACATCGTGGCTCGGAGAGAGACCGCCAAAGTAACAGTCAGCTACACGCTGTCAGACGCAGTGGATGCACTCGTCTCTACGGAGCGGACTGCAGCAATCGTGCTGGACGATGGGAGAGTGCAAGGTGTCCTAACCGAGAACGACGTCCTTGCAGCGTTGGTAGAGGGCACCTCATGGCAGTGCCAAATTTCAGAGTGGCTCAAGGGAAGCTATGCTCGTCTCCCTGGCTTCATGGTTCCTGCGCTGACCCTTCCTGCAAGTGCCAGCATAGCCGATGCTGCGGCAGAGATGACTAGCCTGGCTGAGGATGGCATTGGATTCACATGCCACCACATGCTTGTCCACACTAGGGACGGGGCCCACGGGGAATCGCTGCGCATTCTCTCTGCATTGGACATTGCCCGCGGCATCATCGACACCATCGCCGCGCGCACCAGTCGCGACAGTGAGGCCGGTCCGGACCCCGTGGTCTCCGTGTTCACGGCCTCCGACCTCACAGTCGAGCAAGCCATGAAGGACCGTGCGGGAGTGCCTCTCGGCTTGCACTCGAAGTTTGGAACCAGCTGCCAACAAGCGGTCTCTTTATCTCGCATCGCTTGTTTGTCTTACGCATCGATTGGCGTCCGCATAGGGGAACCGCATTCCCAAGGGTATATTATATCTCCTGACGCGTCGAAGTCGGCCTCGTCGTCATGTGCGGGTTTAGCAGACTCGAACTTGTCACCGATAGCGTACACCGGCATAGCAATGTTCTTGGACAAAAGGTGACCCGCCCATATCCCAAATACACACCCAGCACAGCACGACCGCATGTAGATGACCAGGGTTTTGACCGTACACGCTTACAAGTGATGCTCCGCATCCCACGCACGCGCGAAGTTGAGAGTCGTCATTCGTTCGGGTTTGGGTTGTCGGTCCACAGCGGACTGCGACCAGGGCCATTCACTGAGGCCTGAACGACAATAAGGTCCATGATAAGGTCCGTGGAGATTAAGGTCAATACGGGGGAGTGGGGGAGACACACATTATCCCTTTTCACATGTCCGACAGTCCGGCAGCTCTTACAAAAGATATCTCAAGAAAGCCGAGTGCGAGTTGTAGGCATCATGTATTGTTCAATGCTTGGACTCATGCCATCCCATTGCCACATCACTGTTCTCTCAGGTCAACCTGCAAGCTTCGGGACTCTTTGCAGAAGGCGTTTGAGACCATGCATGTCACTGGGCAGCAACGAGTCGCAACGAGTGCCAGCTTCGCTGATTCGCTGATGTCTTTGACCGAAAGAATGATGATTGGGGGCTGCATGCTGAGGATGCCCGGCAGAATTGCGCCTTGATCGTCTCAGGGGGCCCGAATTCCGTGGACGAGGCGTTGGACGGGGACCTCCCAGCTTGCGAAATAGAAGAGCAAGTGCCTTGCCTGAAATGTGAGCTTGTTCACCGCTTTGCCGCCAGTGTTGGGCTGTGTCGGACTTGGGGGTGGTAAGTATGTAGCGCTTCTTGGCTTCTCCACCAAAACACAACCAGTGCTCTCATCCAGAGGGTTGAGCTCTGATGTGCTCTGAAAGACAGTCCCCGCAGCAGAGGTCTAGTGAGTCTAGTGCTTGAAGTCGGAACAGGATATAACACGATGCCAGAAAGCGAGGCTACAACTACATGGCCGAACTGAACTGAGGAAGGGATCACTGAAGAGGAGGAGCAGTGGCAGCAGGACTTCAGATGGCTGTTGGCGCAGTTAGACTCGGGTAAACGCTGGGAGCAGAAGCGGCTGCCCCTTTCCGAACAAGGGTTTAGGGGGTTTGGGGTTTAGGGTTTAGGGGCTTGACAAACGAACATCGAAGCAGAGGGCGGGTCAACGGCGGATTGAATGTCATACACTCCCGCTCAAAGAATGTTCAGTACATGTGCGAACTTCCCAGCGACGAGGGGAAGAAGTTCGACGCCCTATTGTCACTATTGTCTCTGTCTGGTCGCAAGGAGCATGGAGCTGTCCTTGGTGTTATCACATCATCCGATGCTTTGCGGGCCTTCTCCGAACACCTCAGAGGCTGGGATGCTTCCTTGTGTCACGTGGTGTGGCTTGATGTGGCGAGTGTCAGGTGATGTTCTGCACCAGTTGCCATGAGTATGTTGTGAACCTGCGGAGGAAACACGACAACAGTAGCTGGCTGGCTGCGAGGGCTGAACTCGCAGGCTTCGCCGGCTTTGCTGCTTGGAGCTCCGAGCACCTGCAACTTTTGAGTTGTGACCGCAACGATCTTCGGCTCTGCAGGGAGTGGTGAAAAGTAGCTCGACAAAGCCATGGATCCATTGCAGGTTGCGAAGCGGCTGCAGGCTTGCACGGACGTTGCAGATCCAAGTTCCCTCGGCGTTGCCCAGCCAAACCGCTACTCTGCCTTTCCTTCTGGGGGCAGAGGTGCTACTACACCGCACACAGGAGCAGCCAAGGCGTTTCGAAGAGTTCACGCCAGTTGCTGTAAGGACATCGCTGGAAAGGGACTCCTGCGTCGCTACCGCGCATGACAGCATTGCCTTGAGTGTGCTGTTCTGTTCGGCATGTTGCATGACAGTTTGCCACGCAACAACTTCTGCCCTCGTGTGGCTTCGGGGTCACGGGGTCACATCTTGCTCCGAGGGGGGTAAGGAAGTTCCGCATCGCGGTGGAGCAAATAGGTTCAAAGCTTCTGTCGATCCATGGACTTCACAAGACCACGGTTTATGGCTGTGGCTTCCTCTTCGCTGGGCAGCTGTGCGTGTGTGTGTGTGTGTGTGTGCGTGTGCGCCTGGAGATGAACTTGCGTGCGGGAAATCGTTACCACGGGCTGCCCCTGGTGCAGGCAACTGCAGGCACCTGGATTCTGCAGGCGAAGCCGTCCCAATTTTGCGGTGTCCGGACTTTGGTTGCTTCCATTCCATTCCTATCACGACAGCATCGTCATGAGTCATGACTGCCAGCACTAAGCCGGGATGCAGTCATGCGACTTCACTGCTTTGTGAATGTGCGGTAAAGCTTTCGCAAGTGCGCAAGTCATTGAGGGTAGAGTTCGCCGCGGCTGGCGGCTCTGGTTCACTCAGAGGGGGAAGTCTTGGCAGCAGATGTCTTTCTCTCATAACAACCGAATGGATTGTTCAACTTGGAGGTTTTGCTGTCGCAGAGCAAGACTTCCCCCGGGGCTCTGGGAATGTTATTCCCTTAGGGCCCCTGTATAAATATGCTATAAAAACTCTTAAAAACCCCCTTAGTGTCCCTGTATCATTATACTATAACAACCCCAAAAAATTATGCCATTCTGGCAATGTCTCGGTGTCGCCCAAGTGACGCCATGCATCGCACGGAATTGGTACACTGGGACACGCTGCAAAAGCTTCATTGCCTTCCAGTGGGGCAGTTCTGCGTTCAAGCTGTGGCAGATGTTTCGTAGTTGATGTACTACGGACTGCAGCCTGTTGCTCGTAAAGCTGCGCCCATCCTTAGACTCAAGCTGCGGGACCAGGAGCACAAGACCGCCGCGCAGCGATCAATCGGATGCAGCGCCACACTGGCGGAGGCAGACTAGATGCAGACAAGATGCAGACAGAACCCTAAACCCTAAACCCTAATTGCATGTGCCAGACATCGTCTGAGCTGTCGAGTTCAGTGTGATCATATGGGTGGTTGTCAAAATGATGATCCCTTTTGGGGTACCCTAAATATTAGGTGCCGTAGTATACCCTAAACCCTAAACCCTAAACCCTAAACCCTAAACCCTAAACCCTAAACCCTAAACCCTAAACCCTAAACCACCCACATGGCTCTTGGATGCTCTGTGGCTGACAGTCCAAAGTGAGTCGAGCTTCTTCAGGCGTCCCTGGTCATGTCGGAGTGCGACCTCCACCACTTGCTCGAATCTTGCTTGCACTTAGGGTTTAGGGTTTAGGGTTTAGGGTTTAGGGTTTAGGGTTTAGGGTTTAGGGTTTAGGGTTTAGGGTTTAGGGTTTAGGGTTTAGGGCTTGGATGTGGCATTGACATGGTCCAATCGGGTCTTATGGTAGCTGTGCCATGACTCGTTGCCGTGTCAGGCTTGCCTTGCTGGCTGTAAGCACAATAGTTACGACAGTGCACAATCATGCTGCATCATGCTACACATGTGCGCGATTAGCTTCCCTGCACTCCTTCCCCACTATATATATATATATATATAGATAGGCAGAATTCATGTTGACTGGCCTTCAAACTCCTGAAGACAGGTCATTGACGATGATGGCGACGTCATTGGAGTGCTCTCTGCCTTGGACATTGTGCTGGGATCTCGGATTCAGCGAGCCCAAAGCCGAGGGTATGCAACAGGTCCAAGGCATCATGTTGCGAAGTAGGGTTTGCGACAAAGCCGTTCTCTGGTTGCGACGACCCCTCCACGACACACCCCTTTTCTGAGGGAGATCTCCAAGGCAGGCCTGCGACATTCGTACGAAACGAGGCATACTTATGCAAATGTGTGGACAGCGGGTTGCGCGGGGGTGGGGTGGGGTGGGGTGGGGTGGGGTGGGGTGGGGTGGGGTGGGGTGGGGTGGGGTGGGGTGACGGTTTCAGCCGTGGGCAAACCTTGCTTGCGGTTCCTCTGAGGACAAGTCTGCTGTTGCTCCAACTGCTGCTGCTCCACTGATCCTACTAGCCCTACTCTCACTGCCACTGCTGACAGGGACTTCTCAGTGACTTCTATGACCATGAGAAAGAAACCGTGGTTGTCTCATCTCAGGTGTGCCTTGGGTGCATCGTACAGGTATGACCTGACGTCACCTCGCTTTGTATAGAGATTGCTTTAAGCATTTTTCATCATCCACTAGGAAGCGCAGGGGATAACCTATGCATGCCGTGGCAAATCGAGCAAGAGCGTGGAAGAACGTCAAGGGACAGTAGAGTCAAAGTTCGCTGCTGACCACAAACCCTCTTCTGCATCAACACAGGTATCCCCAGCATGCTAGGGTGATGCGATCATGGTCGTGGGCTTTGCTGCAAGAAAGCGGCTAAGCCCTCTCGGGGCAAATCTGTTGAAGACCCGGCTGCGGCCCGAAAACAGTGATGGGCCGCGCTCCCGTTTGTCCTGCATGACGCACACAGCTGCAAGTACTTTTACAGTTCCTGGGTACGACAGGGCTTTAGCTCGACACTGCAGGTTGAAGGACTGGCGAAAGCGAGAGCCGGAGATTTCTTGGTGTGATCCCATATAAGGGTCTCAAAAAAAATTAAAGGAACAAGGAGTTTTTCTGAAGCCTTAAGGGAGAGATTTGGTAAGGAGGGGAAGCCCGGACACCCTGGAACCGAATTCGGCCGATGATTTCCTCTCGGTACCGGCACTTGCTCAGATCGCTCCTGTCAAGGAAGTGCCCCTGCATTTGTAGCGGGGCCACGGTTGCGCCCCCCATTTTGAACCAGATGTAACTGCGAGGTATGAGATGCTTTGAGGCATAGGGTATATATAATGGTAACATATTGCGACGTGTGTGCGGAATACCGCGAAATACCACATGCAACTCAGCAAGGTTGACCTAAACTTAAGAACCTTAAACCCTTAAATGGGGTTGCGCCGACTATGCGGAGCTTGATTTGGCTGTTCGGTGAGGTGTGGTCGTCGGTCGTTAGCCCTGGTGCTTGCCGTATTGGCAACTCTAGCGCCGAGAGTTCTCTCGGCATCGGAGTCTGCAGATGTAGCTCCCCATGTACAGTTGTTTTTGATGGCTCGAGGAACTGGTCAATTTGAAGCCTTTGTCCTCCAAAGCATCCGAAACGACCGCCCAGAAGCTGCAGGGAAACCTGATGAAACCGGCGCCTTTTCTGTGTCATCCCATTGCGGATGGCCGAGCCTGTGCGCAGGTATGTAATTACGCCCAAGAAAAATGTGCGCGACATCCGGAAGCTTCCTCCAGCACAATCCCAGATACACGGGCAGCATGGACTCAGTGCCGGAATCGGTTCAGACCTTGCAGTTGATGGCTGCATGAGCATGCAGCGTCGCAACGGGTAGCTTGAGCATCATGCAAGCCTGCACTGGATGACGTGATGACGTTACAAGAAGTTCAGAGAGCCAAACGAGTGCCTCGGTGCCCTTCGGACCCTCAACGAGCCCTCGAAAGCTCTAAAGGATGCTAAAGGATGTGCCTTACTGTCATCTAGAACGAAGATAACGCACAGCTAAGCATAGATAACGCACAGCTCAGCATAGATACCCACGCAAGTGCGTCATAATCCATATATATATATATATATTATATTTATATTTATATGTAGGATCATGCAGGAGGATATAGGAGGACTGCTCAGTGCCTCCACCAGCCCGGGCTTCGCGCGCCTTCATGGCGGCGCCCTCAGGGCGGCAAGTGGCCGTGGCCTTGGGCGCGCTCAGTGCGATGCCCAGATTCTAGAAACTTCTGCGGTATTCCATAAGAGTCCCCGCCGTGCACTTTCAGAGACGCGGAGTGAACTTCTTGCATTGTTTCAGAATGTTTCAGAACAACCCCGGCAGTGTATGTGGTTGATGAGTGCAACAGTCTGTTCATAGTCTTTCGTGGTCTTTCGGCACAGGAAAGCATTGGTTTTGACCGACGCCAGGCAGCGGTTGCGTTGGGGCCTTTGTGGTGACCCAGCTGTTTGCGTCGCCTCCACCGCCAAAGCGCGGCGCAGCTCTTTTCTTGGGCTCTTTCAACCTCGTAACCAGAGAGATTACACAACCTTGCATGGGTTTCATAAAAAAGACGAAGGACCACCTACTTTGGAAGCACGAGTGCGCCAAGTCTGCTGCAGAAGAGCCCCTGCTGCGCAGGCCATGTCCGTCAGAAAAGGCCCGCAAAGAGACGTTCGACAACCTGGCGAGGGCACCCAGCTACCATCATCTCCCATCTTTTATCTAACTCCAACAGGTGTGGCTGGAGCTGTGATACTGTTCCTTGGTCAGGTGCATCTCGTGTTTCAGAGGCCTTATAAGAAAGGTTGTGCAATGAGGATAAGCCTTTCGGGCCGTGGGCAGTGAGCACTAGCGGGCTGAGAAGGACCAAAGCCCATACACAACATGGCCAGACCACAGATCGTTGTTTTACCCCCCCCCCCTCTCCTCCGACCTTTTAACAAGCCAGCTCAATACTTGCAGGCCAAGCGATGGGACGTCACGGTCTCCTCGGCATGTTACATGCGGGTGCAGCTTGGTGCTGTCTCAGGATGCTTGCGATCGCGCTGCCTTGAGGGCGGACGGATGAATCGTAGAACTGTGCACTTGTGTTTTGACGGCGAGGTGCGTTCCGACGAATTCCTTGCCGGACTCGGCAGGATGAGAAGGCACGCTGCACTGCCCCTCAATTCTAAGCCTGGCCTTAGGTCAGATCTTAATTTTTCAAGCGGCCGCAGCTGCCTCAGCCGGGGCTCCGGAACGAACAGGGCTCGGCCAGAGAAGGAATCGAGACAATCAAGCCTTTTCCTCACGAAGCAAACAGTTTGGAAGAGTCGAAGAGCCACGAAGATCCTGGGCCCCCCAAGCTGAATCCAGGACTCGAAGGATCCCAAACGCCTGCGAACTGGTGGGGTCCTTGAGGATCCTAGGGGTCCCTACTGGATCCCTAAACTCTCCCCTTCAAGCCCCTGCCCTTGTCGAAAGGCCAGCTCCCTTTCCACACTCGAACTTGGGGGGCACCTCGATCCGACGGGTTTGTTCCCTAGGTCCCTCGTTGAAAGGCGAACGTCGGTAGGGGATGGTCATAGGCGATCGACAGAAAAAGGAAGGTAATTCAAGGTACTTCTAGAAGAAGCTTCTGCCACTAGAGGCACAAGGCATCGCAGGGCATTTTTCGGTGATTTTGAGGGGGCCCCAAAAGAGTTGCTGAAGCTCACCTTATAAGGATTCAAAGGAACCAAGACCCCGTAAAATCACGTGAAGCAAACGTGCCCCCGCTTTGAAGAACTGTGCATGATGTCCACCGCGCTCTTGGCATGGGAGGGTGTTATTGAAGTCCTATTGCTGCCACTTAACCCCCTTTGCGCCACGCCTGTTGGCAGCAACAGGTCACATCTTCACAAGGCTTCAACTTCTCATAGTCTAGTCGCGCGAGTATATGCGGAGAGCGCGGGCTAAGCCCGCTTTGGGATTTCGATTCCTGCGGGTGTCTGAAGATTCCCGGATGGTGAATGCTGAATTTCAGGATTTTGGTCAAGGGCCAAGGGGATATCTTGTAGGAGGCCATGTCAATGTCAGGTTGAGTCTTTTCGGCTTCAAATCTTGAAAGGGGATGCATGAACCCGCATTTCAAGTCAAGGTGTTCATGACTATCGCATACTATCGCGATAAACCTCCCACCCATAACTTGGAGCTTGTAGTCCTCCGCACAGGCAAGTTGTCGGATCTAGCCGAAGGTTTACTTGCAAACTGCCCTTCTCAACGACTAGCACTGTGTACCTTGTGTGACTTGCTTACCGTGAATCTGCGCTTGCGCGTTGCTACCGAAGCATCGTGAGATGATTGGCACCCTTAGACCGTCTGGCTATCACATTCCGCGTGCTGCGGCGATGTAGTCGTAGCGCAGGCAGTTGATCCAGCGTGCCTCTGGTGCGGCTCTGAGCAGGGCGATGGTAGTAGTGGAAGAGTGGAAATAATCCAGACAGGTTGACACCCTGCTGCATGTGTTTTCAGGAAGGTACGCGATTCGCAATTACAGGGGCCTTCGACCGAGGCCACGTCCTCGAGGTCGCCGTCGGCAGTGGACGAAACTTCTCGTGCGCAGGGCGGCACAATCCGGACAACTCCATGTTTTCGGCAGCAAAGAAGATGCCGTGGACATATGGTCATTAGTCATTAATTTCTTTGCACCGGCAGGTACTACAATGCTGGGAAGGTGACGAGCCTCACAGCAATGGACTTCAGCAGAGAGATGTTGGAGGCACGCGTTGCTTGTTGGCTGCGATGGTGCCTCCGCCCTGCGTTGTAGCCTGATCTTCATAGCGGTTCTGCAGATGTTCATTCTTTGTCACGTGCACATGCTGACATGTCGTGGAGGTTGCCGGAGAGAAACGGAAGGAACTTGAGGCGCCCGCAAGCCCTTGCGATCCGGACGGCATGCGTGCGTTGCTGGCCACTGTTCCCTGTCCCTGGCGTTGTCGCAGCCCATTCCCCTCCGGCTGAAGCTGGCCAGCATACATCAGATGGACTTCAAGGAGCGCTGGAGCTATGTTCATCAGAATATTTTGTCATGAAATTCCAAGTCTCCTGCGCTCTGCGGCCAGGACGGCTCCTTCGACACCATCGTGGACACCTTTGGTATCTGCTCTTTTGAGCAGCCGGTCCAGGACAGCGACTTGCTCGGTGCAGCAGCTGAAAAATCGCACGGAGCTCTGTTGCGACCAGGCATTGAAAGAGATGCGACGGGTAGTCAAAGACGATGGCCAGGCCAGGCGAAGCAGGGCAGAACGTGTGCACATGTGCGCCATTGCCCTGTTCGAACTTTCGAACTTGCCGGCGGTTACCTCAGGTCCTCCTCTTGGAGCACGGTGCATCCCAGTGGCCTTCTGTGCCCGGATTATGGGGATTTCTGGCGTTGTTCGGCTCGCATGTCGCCAGTTGGCCGCATTGCATGCTGTGCTCGCGATGCCAGCGGCTGGTATGTACTGCACCTTATAGCCCTGAACCCTAAACTGCCCTAAACCCTAAACCCTAAACCCTAAGCGGCCCTGAACCCTAAACCCTAAACCCTATAAAGCACGATGAATAGGGGAAGACCACCGGGAGCGCTCAATGAATCCAGCTCCTCGCCCATCTCAAGCTCTGGCAGAGCGGGGAGCCGCCCCATCGGCCAAACAACCATGGCAACCTTCATAATTGGGATTCTTCCTATGATTCTTTGTTAATAATTACTAACAATTCAAGTAAAAATAGTAGTAACAATAATAATCACAATAATAATGATAATCGTGGTAATAGTTGGGGGTTCTTGTACAGTGATTTTTTCGCATTTCTACACGGAGCAGCCGCAGAAGCACCGGGTGCCAGTCTCCACGTCAGACCGTGTCATTTGCAAGCATCTTCACTCAATGTACTGGTAGAATACCAGCCGGGAAGGGTTTAGGGTATAGGGTTTAGGGTTTAGGGTTTAGGGTTTAGGGTTTAGGGAGACATCAACATCAACCACCGTACAGAGTTAAGTTAAACATCACGGCAACAGCAAACCCTGGTGTTGCGACGCGCGGAATGTCCCCGGCAAAGGCGGAAGGGCAGGCACAGGCATGATGTCTTTTGAAGCTTCTTGAAAGGGCAGTGAAGGGACATTGCTGGTCGATGTTGCTTATGAAGGCACTCGTACTGCTACTGTAGCACCTACTGGCTTTTCATGTGCGCCAAGGGCATCACGCTGCAAGAACTGCTTCTGCATGCTCCCACAGCGGCTTTTGCATCGGGCATGCGAGCAGGATCGGTGCTGTGAGTGAGGCCTGGGCGTGCTGTCTTCCCACATTTCTGCGGCGCCGCAACGCTGTGTGGGCGTGGGGACGCCGTGGTTCTGAAATGTTCTGAATAGCCACCACGCGTATACTACAAAGCTGATGTGGGGAAGGGTGATAAAACTGGAGCAGACGTTGATGGCACCAACAGATCAAAAGTCTGGTGCTGCAGGACCTCCCCCCGAGCTCGAGCCTGAAGAGCTGCAGGCAGTCGGCTCCAGTGCAAAGCTGTAAAGACCTGGCGATGCATGTCTCTGGCCGTGCCTCAGTGTCCTGTCTATGTGCTCATAGCCTTCTCGCGTGGGCAGCGCGTCAAGATTGAACGGCAGGAGGCCCTTCAGTCCATCGCCCTGCGTTCGGTGGCCTTGCTCTGCCGGGGAGCTCGGAATTGAACAACCGCTGCTTTGTCACCATGTAAGGCTTTGGGTTTAGGTTTTTAGGGTAATGTTAAGTTTTACTTGTAAAGAACGAAGAGACGCACGAACTTAACATTTAGAATTTCGTGTTCACTGCGTTTCCTCGTGAACGCACTATTCTTAGTGGGGCACGCGTCATTACATTTTTCATTGCGTTCCAGTAATTATTGAAAGGGAGGTGAAAACATCGTTTGACATATTGTCTCACCACCTCTGATGGGTCATGCATGCGAGTCGTGTGGGTGGCAACGCTAGGCCCGTCAGAATCATCATAACATGTTTACAAATAGTTTCTATATGCATATCTGATAATTTGCATAAAATCACAGACATAAACATAAATATGTTATATATATATATATATATATATATATATATATACATATATATATATATATGGCCGCGGCTCAAAACGCCAGGCTTGTAACAGGCCCCCGGGCGTTCACGGTGCGACAAAGGGTTAGTAACAAAAACCGGTTCTTGCGACAAACCTTGCGCGACAAGGCTTGCGACAAGGGGCGGCTGCTAGAGTGCCACGCGACAAAGGTTAGAAACAAAGCTGCCGCGACAAGGGGCGCGACAAGGGTTTGTAACAAGGTGGGGGCCGATCCCCCGCGACAAGGGGGGTATTGGGCCAGCCCCATATATACATATACTTTTGTCATGAAATCTGGGAGGTCGGGACCGCCTGGATGTGGGCTCCAAGCTCAGTCTCCGACTTTTAAGTCTGTTGCAAGAAAAGGCCCCATTGTCTCGAACGCCTGGCCCCTGACTGTTAGGTCTACATGTGCTTTTCGAGGTTAGTAAATTATTAAAGGTTCAGGGATGTTCAGGTTATGAGTGCCAGGGTGCCTCACAAGTCCAGAACGGCTCAGGCAGTTTTGCTCCCGACGTTCAGAAGTTTAGCATTCTGGACACTCTGCCCCTGCGGATCAAGCGGGAGGCTTTTGCACTCGGTCTTACATAGATGCAGAGCTTCCAGCTTGTTGCAGATGAGATGATACGGAGTGCGCTAGAGCAGTGTCATGTCAGACATGTGCAGCCGAGACCCCACATCCTAAACCGTAAGCTCTAAGCCCTAAACCCTAAACCCTAAGAGTAGCGAACACGTGTCACGCAGCAGCGATTGGTTGGCAGGTTTTGCGTCTGGCCTCGGCAGAGCTTTGCACAGAACGTGCAGTCGGAGCCTTAGATGGGGTTTAGGGTTTAGGGTTTAGGGTTTAGGGTTTAGGGTTTAGGGTTTACGATATTTGGAGTACCTTATTGGGGTCCTTATGATAAAATCCTACTATTTAAGGGTCCATATCAGGGGCCTCTTCTTTTCATCCTGACTAGAAGAGATTGACACCTGCGCCAGATGGGAGCTATGGTTGGCATGGCCGTGGCGGACTCTGTGGGCGCTTTCCTGGAGTTCCTGCCGGTTGGAAAGAAGGTGCTACCAGCACCCTAAACCCTGAACCCTAAACCCTAAACCCTGATCTCAGATCTTAAGTTGCACTTTCATGCGGATCTGCTGGCAGAGTTGTCCGGCCAGGGCTCACGCTTCAATCCTGATACGCTTCAGGCTTCGGGGGGCATGCAGTCTGTCTGCACTCGCCTGCAGTATCGAAAGTAAGTTCCCACAATGCATGGTAGAGCTGTGCAGGCTGGAAGCTGTCTTGATGCATGTTTGACACTCGCTTCTATTTGCCTATCCTGCGGCGTTTTGGAGATCTTGTGTCGAGATGCGTGCGCCTAAGTGCTTCTGGAGAGCCACCTGGTGCGGTCTCCTTCACATGGGCGGTGCAATTGACTTTGAGAGGTGGAGGGCAGCTTCAACAAGTTCAAACTGAAGCCTGGCCAGCTCGGGGCCAAAGCTGGGATAGACGCGAGAACGACAGTCGAGTTGGCATGTAGCAATCAACAGGTCGTAAATGTCAGCACAGGTCGGGCAGAACAGTTTCGTAGTGGCTTTTCAAATCCCTCCAGAGACCACAGCCTAGGTGGACGGATGATACTTCTATGGGGCTCTGCCTGGCAGACTCGCTCTTGGTGTGCCGAGGCCCCTTCGTCTATCCTTGGCCAAAGCAAGTAACCCGGGCCGAAAGCAAATCTCATCCAGACTTTATACTACAGCAAGATGTGGGCCCTGAGCCACCCCCTGGAGAATGGAGGATACGATGGGACAGACATTCGCGTCCGCTTCTGGAACTGGTGGCACCGCGGATACAACAACGCCTTCCGACACGTCATGCGCTTATTCATCCGAAGAGGTTTGGACTGCAGATGTTGGTAACGGGTTCCACTTTTCCACGTAGTGCGGTGCACGCTTTTCGAGGATCGGGAGCGCAGACACTCAGTGGGCCTTGGAGGGAATGTGGCCGTTTCCCTCAAGGACTTCTGCGTACATTGTGCACCCTCACACACGTAAAATATACATATACATATATATGTATATGTCTATCTGTATGGTTTCGCGTTTTGCTATTTTATGTCTTTTCGAGACATGCTGTAGGAAGGAGCCAGTCTTCAGTTCCTGTTCGAAGTAGGACTAGGTGGGAGTTTGTAGTTGTTGCACTTTCTCACGTTTGCTGTCCTGTTGCTATAACTAAATCGTAGCACTATTATAGTACCAAGATCGCACTGTTATAGTACTATTTTATTACCGTTATAGTATTGGTATAGTACCATCATCGTACTACTATCGTACTATGATAGTACTATCTTGAGCAGTACTAACTTTTCCAGCTCTCCGCAGGACGTGATGGACTCCAGCTGGTACCCCCAGAATCAGGGACTCCTTATAATTGGGATGTTCCCTTATTTATACTAACAGTCCTTAGTAGAGATTATAGTAACCCCCTATTGTAATCCCTGTTCAGGACTGCTAGTATAAGGGGAACATCCCAACCTTGGAGTTGTTCCTCTTCGTGTTTTGGGTTGGTTCGGAGCAAGAGATACATACAGCACCCGGCTACGCAGCCGCAAAGTTTGAGTTCCTGGGCCATCGCGTGCCATAGCCTTCGTATGCAAACACGCAGTTGACGTGGGAAAGCAGCCCAGGCCCATCGCCGAGGTTTGAATCAATCCGCGAGGCAAGCTGCGTGGACGGGAAGCAACTTGAAGCTAGGAGGGAGGTTTCCGAAATTAGGGTACCTTATTGAGGCCCTTATTATAAGGGAATCCTACTATTTTGGGGTATATATAAGCCGGTAGAAAGACTCAAGCTAGGGCCGATAGGGCAGCTCCGCATCCATCTTGTTGCCCAAATACTGCAAAGAGGCATCCGAAGGAAAAACAGTTGACAAGCAGTCAGTATGCAGATGTATGCTGCAAGCCGTGCTGCCAGGATGCCGGAAATGGCTCCATCATGCGCCTTCCGCTGAGTTTGTTGGGGGAGCGAGTCGTACTGTAGCTGGCAGCTGGAAGGTCACGTGTTCATGGCTGCCACAAGCAACACCAACTACAGTAATATGCAGGTATGTATGCAAAAGCCTTTAAAACACCCTGAAGAAATCAGTCAAAAAAGCCTTCAAAAAACCCCCCAAAGATGAGGCTTGGCACCGGTCCCGATCTTCTTCAGCGCCGACCCGGAGAAGGCGGGAAGAACCCACCCTGCCGCTAATGTATAAGTATTGCATTCTACTATTACATTAAATTCCTATTAATATGT